CTCCTGGCCGTGGCTGTATTCAATGGTTCATGCAAGCGGGGGGGTTCGAGGCCTGGTCGAGCAATGATGTTATTGAATAATTTAACAAGTTTATGAGCAGTGAGATAGGCAGATTTGAGGAGTTCAAAGGCAAACTTTCAAAGCGCATCTGCCGCGCCGCACTTGACGATTGTCGATGTGGGCACTGACCTCTCTACTGACGCTTGGCGCGGTCGGCGGGTCCTGCCACTGAGGTCGAGCAGGTTGCACTGCAGAACGGTCCATCACCTCTGCCACCCAGTTTGGGTTCGATTGCTGAATAAGAAAGGAATGCACGAGTCAACACCCAGTCCATCGACTCTTCCCATATGCCAGCTCTCAATAGGCATGGGTGCAAACGAATGAACGTGCTCAATGACGGCATGATCTCACACATGTCGGACAGCGACAGCGACTGAAACTCACGCTTGCTCGCCACGCATCAAATGGCTCGATGCTGACTGGCTTTGACCTGACGCTCTCCTGAACCTCCTGCATGACATGTATTGCCCGATTAATCGTCATTCGTGAATCACCCGGTCTATATCGACGCTCTGTGGATGCTTGTGAAGGGGCATGGTGATTCTGGGAAGTGGCACTTGTGGCCTGGCGGTACTTCGTACAACCCTGAGATGGAGCCTGTATGAGGCAGAAAGCAACTTTGCTGACAAAACACTCACGTCCGCGGTTGGAATGGGAATCAGGGGCCGTCCGGACGAGCTGCTGGGGGCGTCGGGACCGTGTGTGGGCCACCCCGGGTTGCTCTCCACGCCCCCGATCATCATTTGTGTCACTGCATCGCATCAAAGTGATCCCTCAATCAATCGTGCTCCAAATGGCATGCCAAATATTCAAGCCAGATCCGTGCATTTAAAGTCTTATCCATAAAGCCGTCTGAAGCATAATCCTGCCAACAAGTGCACGGGATGTGCAACCGTACCTATTAGCGCCCTGCTCTTTGGTGCTGAGGAGTAAAAAACCTTCTCCGACCCGCCCTCAAAGGCTGCAGATCCTGCGCGAGCAGAATGGTAGAAGGTGAGCGTCGAGAGTCCTGCCACGATACCAGCGGTCCTGCAGACACCCGGAATCTTACAAAGTGAACACTCCGATCCTCACAAAGTAAGCGCTCGCGGCGCTGCAGAGGCACACACCGTTTCGAAGGGCCCGGCCATGCCCTGCAGGATGTACCAGAAAACGCCCATTAGATTCTTTAGAAAGTAATACAGCATTTCTTGGTACACTTCCATTGTGCGCCGGATGGCTGGAACCACGCTTGATGGGCCAGCCCGGCCATGCCCTGCAGGATGTACCAGAAAAATGCCCATTTATTTCTTTAGGAAGTAATACAGCATTTCTTGGTACACCCTCATTGTGCGCCGGATGGTCGTACCCTGCGCTTGATGGGCCAGTCCGGCCATGCCCCCCGAAATGCACCCGGCCATACCCCCCAGAATGAACCCGGCCATACCCCCCAGGTTGTACCAGGAAACGCCCAGTACATTCTTAAACAATAACACAGCGTTTCTTGGTACATGACCCTTCTCTGCTTCTCATGCTGAAACAGCCACACACCGTTTAAGGGGCCGGCCATACCCCGCAAGGTTCGTGTACCAAGAAACGCCCATTAGATTCTTATAGGATAATACAGGCTTCCTAAGTACCACCAGACTGTGTGCTTGATGGGCAGCCCCGCCAGACCAGGAAAAATGAACAGGAGAAACGCCCGTAAGGTTCTTCACGAGCTCCATGTTGTTAAGAAGAACGACCCCACTTCCCATGATACTCCCCTAGGTTGAGCCAAGAACTCTCGACTGATCGAGAAGAGGACTTTGCCGCAACCAGACGGCCGGGGATCGAGGAGAAGGCTCACCTTGCAGTCCGTTCCTCACCAGCACCGGACGATGGCTGCTTGTGGCAGTGGGCTGCCTCGACGACTGAGCCCCAACCCTGGCGCTCCCCTGGCTTGACAGCGCGCACTGGCCTTCCCGTTCTGCGCGCTGCCCGCGCTGCGCCCCGTCGCTAACCAAGCTGGCGGCGTGCTGATGGCGGCCTGCGCCAAGACCGCACTCAGACTTGGAGCTGCAACCGGTCGCACAGGGGCTGGCTGTGGCGGTTGTGGGGGGGCTGTCGGCGGCGTGGGGCGCGATGTGGGCGTCGCGGTCAGTGCACGTTAATCCTGAAAAGGAGGCGCACAGAGGGTCAGCACTGCTGCACTCGGGATGTCACGATCGACCTGTCAGATACCCTGCAGTAGTCCTCCGAATCGTGCGACTGGTCAAGTGCGTGCAATCTGTCCGGCCATACCCGGCAAGGTGTACCAAGAAACGCCCATTAAGAGTCTATAGAAGAAATAGATTCTTCCTTGGTACACTTTTCTGATGAGAAGCGGAATTGACGCACTTCAGAACGTTTTTCCAAGGTACACTGCTTGTCGGGCGCCGCTTGTAAGACCTCCCGATGTTGCGCGACTTGAAATTATTACCTTCGATTTGCAGCTAACGCGTGTGACAGAGCTTTGGCTCGGCAAACTGCCGCAGTCCGGCCATACACCCCAGGATGTACCAGGAAAGGGCCGTTAGATTCTTAAAGAGGAACACGCCACTTCCCGGTACATGCTGACGGCGCGCTGATCCAGCCACACCCCCAAGGATGTACCAGGAACGAGCCTTTGGATTCTCAAAGAGAAATACACCACCTCCTGGTACATACTAACAGCGCACCCCAATTCATGCCAGCGAGTAACAAAGGTTGGGTCCCATGCTTCGCGCCGTCAGTGAACCAGGGGCGGCGACGCAGTGCAGCGCCAAGGGACTGCTGGACGCTCACCTTGCGATCTGCTGAGCGCCGTACGACGGCTGCTTGTGGCAGGAAACCGCCCCGGCCGGAGGTTGTTTGACGGCGCGCAAAGGCCCTCACGTGCGTGGCGCTGCGCGCACTGCGCCTCGTCGCGCTCGCACTCTGAGGGGTCGAGTGTGGGGCGAATAGCGGCAGCGGCGGAAGGCTCGTCATGGACGCCGGCGCCTCGTAACCCTGCGCGGTGGATCAGCACGGCGGCTCATGAATTTCACAATTCGCCCCAAAGATCAAGAGCATGCAAGCTGTCCGGCCATGACGCCACTTTGTGGTACATGCTCATGGTGCTGCGGGCCCGTCCACACCCCCCAGAATGTACCGGGGAGCTGCCTATTGTTCTCTGAAGAAAGATTGAGATGATTCTTGGTACACTTTCGTGAAAGCTGCAGGTCCGGCCACACCCCCCAGGATGTACCAGGATTTGCCCATTTGATTCTTAAGAAAGTAACACATCATTTCCTGGTACGCCTCAGAACGTGCGCTGTGACGGGCTGCAGGCCCTGCCATACCCCCAAGAATGTACCAGAAATTGCCCATTAGATTCTTAGAGGAGTAACACAGCGTTTCTTGGTACACTGCCTTTCCTTGAGCACGCTGAAAGTCTCGCACCGTTTGGGGGCCCAGTCATACCCCACAAGAAAGCGCCTGGCCATACCCCCCAGAATGAATCCGGCCATACCCCCCAGAATGCGCCCAGCCATACCCCGCAAAATGGACCCGGCCATAATCTACAGGATGTACCGAGAAACGCCCAGTAGATTCTTTAAAGAGTAATACAGCATTTCTTGGTACACGACCCTTCTCTGCTCCGCACGCTGAAACCGCCACACCCGTTCAAGGGGCCGGCCATACCCCGCAAGATAAGTGTACCAGAAAACGCCCAGTAGATTTTCAGGGAAATACAGCGTTCTTGGTACAGGGGCTCTCGCTGAAAGTCTCAAACCGTTTTTGGGGCCCGGCCATACCCCGCAAGATACGTGTGCCCGCAAAATTCGTGTACCAAGAAACGCCCAGTTGATTTGTAAAGAGTAAGACAGCATTCTTGCTACACGACCCCTCTCTGCTTCGCATGCTGAAACAGCCACACACCGTTCAAGGGGCCGGCCATACCCCGCAAGTTAAGTGTACCAAGACACGCCCAGTAGATTCTTAGAGAAATAATACAGCCTTTCTTGGTACGGCCCGACTGTGTATGTACAGGAGAAACACCCGTAAGGTTCTTCACGAGCTCCGTGCTGTTGAGAAGAACGAAGCCACTTCCCATGATACTGCCCTAAGTTGAGCCAAGGATTCTCAACTTATCGAAACAGAGGACTTTGCCGCAACCAGACGGTCGGGAATTGGTGAGGAGACTCACCTTGCAATGCGCCCCTCACCAGCGCTGTGCGACGGCTGCTTGTGGCATTAGGTCCCCCCCACCGAGTTCCATACCTGGCGTTCCCGATCGACAGCGTGCACTGGCCCACCCGTTCTGCGCGATCGCCGCTGGCGGTGTGGTGATGGCGGCCTGTGCCAGGTCCGCAGTCCGACTAGGAGTTGCCGCCAGTTGCATGGCGGCTGTTTGTGAGCGTCGCAGGGGGGCTGTCGTGGGCGTCGCGGTCAGCGCACACGGAATCTGCAGAAAGAGGCGCATAGTGGGTCGGCTGCGCTGCTCATGGCGCTCGTGATCGACCACGCACTACCTTGCATGAGTTCCTGGTACCAAAGTTTATGCACCTGCAGGCCTGGCCATACCGTCTAGAATGTACCAGAAAGTGCCGATTAGAATCTTAAGCAAGATTCTGACTCCGTGCTTGATGGGCTGCCCAGCCATACCCTGTGTGATGTACCAGGAAACGCCCAGTAGATTCTTAAAGAACAATACAGCGTTTCTTGGTACAGCGAAAATGACTGTGTGCCTGATGGGCGGCCCAGCCATACCCTGTGTGATGTACCAGGAAACGCCCAGGCGTTTGACGTTTGAGGCGGGGAATTCAAGCGCTACTGAATCCACTGTCTCAAACCATACAAGAAGGGTGTCGATCCACCCAAATCATTCAGTCAGCAACAATGCTTCAGAAAAGGTGCAAACAAAGTCATGTCCGGTCACCAAGCGCAAGGTCACCAAGCGCAAGAGCTGGAATTTGAGACTGGAATCTTATTTGAAAGAGGACACCGCACCAAGAAGACATCAGAAAACATGGCCAATAGAAGTCTAACACCGCTGCTTTCTGACCAGAGAAGTATACATCTTGCAACCAGTTTCGAACCAGCGTCGCTGGGGGTGCAGATTTTCAGTCTTTGTGTGTCTGCGCATTGTTGCACCTATCAGACACAGTCTGGAGGCTTGCAAGAATAGCCTTCATTATTTACAATCCATCAAGCAAGACAAGCATGACTGCCAAGCTTGCCGCAACCCACCATGCAGCAAAGCAATCTGACGTGAGGAAACTACAAGATTGTCTGCGAAAGCCAACATGTGAGCTCACCTGAACTGGATGCATTATGGATGCGCTTTCTTCTCTTGCGCAGCTCTTAATTCAACAATCACCGGGACCTGCCATCAAGGTGACTTTGCAGAAAGCAAGTTCAGTGCTCTGAAAGCACAATCTTCCTCTCTAATCTGCGCTCTGGCAGCAGCAACGCAAGGCTGATCCATGCATTATGGACAAGCAACACGACCCCTTCTGACCCACGTCGTTCATCGGTATGTCATCTGTTGCTGCCACCTGGCCAACCAGCTTTGAGCCCACCTTTAACAGCGTGGGAACGGTCTGGTTCATGTCGGTAATGCTACAGGCCAGGCCCTTATGGCATTCCGCAGCCCCTATGGCCGATAGCCTATGCCGGGGTCCCGGTGGCCTGAAGGACGCGCCAACTGGCACGTGGCCTGCTCGCGAACAAAGCGTGCAATTTTTGCCCGAGTGCTTAATTGCGCCCTCTGGAGTCTGGGTTCCTCGGGGGGCCCATTGTTTAAAAGCTGCAAGATTTACCCACTTTCAGAAACTGAGGAAGACAAAACAGGGCAGCCTCGCAAGTGGAGTCCACCGCCAGTGGTCCGCCGCGTTCTCCTTCCAAAGTCCATGCCTTCTGAGTCTCTGCATACGCACTGTAAGAGGAAGGCCATCTTCACTACATACCTTTGCAAAGAACTTAGGTTGAATGAATGACGGTACTTATCTGCGGATGAACGGAAGGCGGAGAGTCTCGAGCATAGGCGTTAGGCACGTCTGAACAGTCTCTGTCTTGTGCTGTGTATCAAGGACAGACTCTAAAGATGGCTACCCCAGAGATAACACTGAATTTTTTCAGAGAGGGACTGCCAGTCATCACGAAGGTTGTGACGACTGAAACAGTTGACCTGTCGGAAGTCGCGCGAGACTGTGAGCTGGTGCCTGAGGGAAGCCTTTACTTCAGAGGCGTTGACGACAAGAAGGTGTCTTTCTCCAGAACTCCTGTATCCGTCAAGAAGCTCCTGGAGACCTGTGGTTCGGAGGGCGACCTCCATATCCTGCGTAAGTTTTCCAAGACCTGCTTTGACCTTCTTCTTTCATCTAATCCTTGTCCTTGAGCTTTTGTTTTGTAAGGCGAGAGTTCTGGATACACAAGGAAGCAACCTTCCAAGTCTTGGTGCAAGAAAGAAGCATACAAGTATGCTCCTGAGGGTATGCTTCCTTCTCAAGGGGGAAATGGATATGTCCTATCTTTTGTCGCTCTGAAATAGTTGTGCTGCAGTTTATAGCTGAAGTAATGTGCAATCCCTTGTGGCTTCCTGCAGTGAATCCGTTTGACGGGCTGCGGTTTATCAAGTTCAAATATGGAAAGTCTACGAAGACATTTCCTGCGACCACAGTAAGCTGGGACGAATTCACATCCTGGGTACTCGAGGTCAACCCTCAGTATACAGGCTATGAGCTGAGCGCCAAGTTTGCTGGTGAGAAGTGTCTGCTGTCTTCTGCATTCAAGGCAAACAATAGAACTACTAACCCAATATGAAGTGACGAGGTGTTTGTTTGGTTTTGTCAACTGCTTTACTGATTGTCAAAGAATGCTTCACCATTCAAGCTGTCTCGGGGACTGCCTTAAGGTTTAATGGAGAGTATTGTGGGTAGGCTACCAGCGAGGGTTTTGATCGGTAATCTAATGAATTGAAAGATTTTTCTTCCTTGCAAGTACTCTCTGATACAATGTTCAGGAAGGCAACACCAAGTATCAGGACTATCAAGATGTGACTTAGTTGAGTTCATGTTAAGTCCCTTGTGTTCGATTTTGAGACCTCTTCTTCGTGTGTTCAGGTCCAGGATTAGAACTAGAGGCGAGATCTGAAGGCGAGTTTCAGATCGCCGTTCCCTCGTTCCTGCGCTTTTTCCCCAAACAAGTGGTCGACTTGACAGTTACAGTGAAGCAGGGCCATTTGAGATCGTTCTCAACCTTTACGGGAGACCGGGGGGTGAAGGTAAGAGGCAAGGGGCTTCACAGTGTCTTCCAATGTGGGGCCCTGCTGTGCTGTAGTCTCTTGATCTTATTACCCGCGGTTCTGTGAAGCAGGAGTGAATCAGGTCCTTCAAAGTCTGTTCCAGGGTGCAGGAGGGAATATGTATACAAGACCAGGATTCCATTATTCATTTGACTGGATCGTTGCAGATGCTTAGCGTAGGCCTACGCTGTTAGGTTCTGTCTGTTGTGCTACTTGAAATGTCGGAAGGTTCTTGGATGGGAATGAAGCAATGGCACCCACTTGCTTGTAGGATGGGATGGCTATCCTTCTTGGCCAATCCTACGACATGAACAAGAAGAGCCACCAGAACCCGAAGAGTGTGGCCAGGTTGGACGGGTACGACCCTATGGAGCTCACAGAAGAAGTTCTCTTGAAGGAAGTTCCGAAGCGCTACTCTGGGGGCCGGGCTGCGACTGTAAGTCCACCCTCCCAAAGAGTCTCATTGCATCTTGCCTGATGTTGCTGTCAGAATTGGATGCAAGTGTTGGCATTCATCATGTGCGAAGCCTTGATTGGAATCTGGATTTGAAGTCAAGATGAAAGTGAAAGTGAAAGTGCTAGCGAAGCGCACACGGTGGTGGTGCAAAATTCCCCACTTCGAGATTGAAATACAGTAAGGTTTGATCTGGTCTGCACAAGGTGCGCGTACTGACATTAGAAGCATGCAAATGCAGGTGCACGACCTTCTGAAACAGACTATGTGGCTACTGTCGGCCGCATATGCAGCCTGCGGCGAATCAAACTCGCAAACGGTATGCGTGACTATCTTATATTTGAAGGACAGGTTGCGCTGTCAGATGCCTGAATTTGAACCTGAAAGGGTCTTGAAACAACCGCCTTGTGAGAACTTCCTGGTGACCGATTGTAAGTTGTGGTGAGGCCAGGGTCACCCTGCCGTCAGGTGGCACTCCGTCTCTACTACTCCTTTCCGTGTGTGGATCTCAGTCTTAAGCTAATTCCTTGAGATCAGCGTTGAAGTTGGAAGTCCAACTGAAGCAGGCAGCATAGAATCTGGTTGCCTAGTGTTGCTTGCTGATTGGCTGACCCTGTCAATGCAGGAGGCCACAAAGCGGACATTCATCGACCAAGTGCTCATCCTAGTAGCGGCAATCATCTCCACGGTGCTCGATTTAGACGACGAACTCGAACTGATCATGGAGTACAAGTTTGACAACGGAACCCTCGACTACATCTACAGGCATCTGCGAGTTAGTATCCAAGCCGAAGTGGATATCCGCCAAAAACCGTTCTCTTTCTTGTAGAGGGGTCCTTGTTGCTTGTTGTACATGATTGGAACAACGGCAAGTGTATTCGGCTATCAAGTATTGGTTGTTCGTTACGGCAGACTGCTCACAGTTGTAGGTAGCATTCAAGCCTTCTTAGGCAGCAGATCTGAGCATTTTCAACTGTGAGGGTTATCGAAGGGAGGCTGTACACGTCTTTGGTACTGAGCTTCATCGTTTAAACTTTCTTCCAGGCACTCGTCGCCCTCATCGAAGCCAAAGGTGAATGCAAGCTGCCGGCCTACCGCGGCCAAGCCTTGGTGGAGATGTCGTCCCTCAAGCGCGTCAAACAGCAGGACAGCAGGAAGCGGGACTGGGAGGAGATGGAGGATGCAGGAGTGAGTAAAAAGTCTGCTTCATCTTGGTGTCTAAACAGGAACAAAACTAGAAGATTATCCCTGATTGATAGCTAACCAACACTCCATCTGCTTCATCTTGGTGTCTAAACACGAACAAAACTAGAAGCTTATCCCTGATTGATTGCTAACCAACACTCCACAGGAGAAAGTAGTCGAGCCATTGAGCTATTAAGCAAGGCGGAGTATCGTAATGGTCATTTGCATAGCAGCAGACATCGTGACGGGAACTCTCTTGACGTCTTTTATTTGCCTGCAGACAGTGGGAATCCTGACCAACGCCGACGAGTGGGAGTTCTTTGTGTTCCGGCCAAACGCGCAGCCGCCAGTGACCTTTCGACGACTTGCTTCCGATATGTCGATAGTTGATTGGAAGGATGTGCAAGCACTCCAAACTCTGTTCAAGCCAGTAATTGAGCAGCTGGTCGGCATCCTGGCTGTGGAGTGCAAGTTGGTGAAAGAGAGCGCTGCAAAGAAGGTCAAACCAAATGTCAAGTGACAGCTTGAGTCTGACTTCATTGTCCAGATATGCTCAAGGCTCCCGACACTGATGTGGTAGCAAGGTGGTGCTCGTAGCTGCATCGGTTTCTGTTACCAATCTGCTATGTCTGGTTCCAGCCAGTACGAGTGAGTCTAAAGAGTTCGCTTATGGCCGAACCTTGTGTTGCCCAACTCACCAAGTGAGAATGTGTCACCACGACCTTTTGTTCTAAATGCTGCTAGTACCACACTCACCTGATTGACCATTTGCATGCGGCACAACCAACCTTTGGACTCGCTCTTCAAGCGGGACGTGGAAAGTCGAAAGTCAAACCCCATGCGATGGTGCGAACATGAAGGAATGCAATTGTATCATGTATCAGTCACGGTTTGCAGGATCGCCACATATTGTATCATTCAAGATTGTATGTACTCGCAACGTCATGCCGGTGCCATACAATCTCGAGCGAACATGCATTTTGGCTCTGCCATTCGTGTTATAGTATGCATCCGCAAGGAGGTGCAACCGATGATCTTATCTGCCACTAGATTAGCACTTCAGGCTTCATGTGCTAGCCAACAAGTACATGGTGTGCATGATCGATTGCCCAATATCGGACACGTGCAACACTGGAGCTTGCACGTGATCTGGAATCTGGATGCGCTTCAATGCCGCTGCCGGCAGCTGAGCCTGAGCTCACTGAGAGCTGGCAACTAGGTAGCTCAGATGCTCCTAGCCGCAGCCCGACTGCCAGTGGTGAAGTGGGAACGCTCACGAGTCAACGAGCCTGAAATGGTAACGATATCATAGGGATAAGTGCAGGTCCCTTATGGAGCATAGGCTATGCCGAAAGGGCGAGGGGCGATGGTGTTCGGTAGAGTGACCGGGCTGGGTTAGGTGGAAATGCAAGGTCGCGCCAACTGGCCATTCGGTAGACCGTTTCCGTTCATTGATCGTCGGCGTCAGGGGTTTGACGCGGCCGCACTCAATCACCAAAACCTGGGGCGGGGTTTGGATCGGTCGGCAAACGGACGTCCAATTGAACCTACCGACTTAGTGGCGCCGGACGGGCGGGCTGCCGCCCGCGCCGCTTGCCGCGCGGCCTTGATTCAATCGCGTCGATGACGGTTCTGATAATAATCAGAGGCTGTTTATCCACACGTCGTCTGATTAGGCAGGCATATGACCATTTTCTGTGGAAAAAATTGACACGCCTTTTTGACTTTGATCATCCAAAACGTACCTCTCTCTGCTCCATTTAGGGTGCCGTCTTGTAACGAATATCCCGATTCGCCAGTCACGCAGGCGAGCTCAGACCCTGTTGCGTTTGCGTCACCATCCGCCTGATTTCTTATATGCAAAACTCGCCGTCCTGCCGGCCAACTCATGCGAATCCCCAGCAGTGTGCGCATGCGGACGCTGGCAAAGCGTCATTCTGACGTGCTTCTGACGTCAAGAAGGGTGACGGTGCTCGTAGAGCTGGTCATAGAGCTCTTCGTCAGGTGCTCTTAGAAGAGCCCGTTTCCGTCTCATAATCGGGCCGTTTATCGGGCATCAGCGAACGCCATAGAGGCAGAAAAGGGGCTGCCGGAGTTTGCCACCTGGCTCCACTTCCTGTGAGCGTTGAACGAGGCCGCCTGAAGCTGCCTGGCGCAGATCCAAAAGCATGGCCTGCAGAGGACGCTCCCCGCGGTGGTTTTGCTTGAAGAAAGTGGGCTAAAGTTGAGCTTCTCGATTTGGAGGAGCGGAGCGGACGGAGTGAAGTTGGATTGGCTTCCAAATCCTGGGGAGTATTAATTCAAAAGAGAGCCTGGGGGTGAAGTCGCCCAGCACGCCGGTTCTTCGAGTGACTCCCTGTACGGGGACGCTTCAGCAAGCAAGGAGTTGGAGGGAGGCACTTTAATCTGATTAACATTCATGGAAGCCGGATCTCGGTTTGTTGGGAGCGTCATGAGAAGAACTCGCCTGATTTCAAGTTCACGGAGACTTCGCAGCGATCCCGACCGTAGCGATGGATCAGCCTGAGGACGACGGAACGGCAGGCTGAAGTGGTCAGTCACGAAGGGGACAAGGTTGCGTCTTGATTGGACACCTCCGTAAACGATGGCGGGAGCTCAATGACGTGCGTCCAGATCGAGCGACGCGGTGACTCCTTCGAGTGACGTGAACGCGTTGTCAGCGGTCAGCGGCTAACTCTGAAAGTCATGGCTCCCTCTAAGCCAACATTGCTGGACGGTCAAAAATTTCAGCAACAAGTGACAGCAATGGTCGTCTCAAGGGCAAACCGGTGCGGAGCGGAGCGGAGCGGAGCGGAGCTTGGCCACACTCTTGTGGGGCGGAATGCCACAGCGAAGGTCAGCATCAGAAGGGCTGCAGCTGTTTGAGGGCCACGACCTTTCGCCGTGAGCGCGAAGCTTTTCTTCGCAACTGCCCCTGAAAAGTGAGAACTCGTTTCAAGATTTCATAATGGGGTCTGAAAGTAGCCGGGGCGTTTGGTGTAGATCAGGGCTTAGACGCGGGACGAAGCTGTGACACTTTCGGCCCACTTCGAGTTGCTAAAGTCTCGTGCCCGGAATCCATGGAATTGTTTTTGACCACACAATGGCCTAGATCCTTTCTTCCCCTTCCTTATCATTAAAACATATGCACTGAGGTTTACTTGGAGTACCCGGTCAATGCAAAGGCTATCAACCTCTTTGTAACGAAGTAGACGATCAAAACCAGTTTGCACTTTCAGCTTTGGACTTCTGATTGTCACCTCTGTTTTCGCTGCTGTTCGCATCCCTCCCGCTAAGATGGACAGCTGGGGGTGTAGTCCATTCAAACAGTGCAAGGTCCGACAGGAACACACGATATCTTTGTTAGAAACGATACTGTTTGGAAGACACTTCGCCTGTCTCCGTCCGTCTTTATAGGTGGGCCGTTCGCTTTCAGACTCTCCATTGCGGCCTCGGTTGGCTGATAAGCGCTGGCGCACTTTCCGCGGCAACTGGGCGAAGGTGCGCCTTTGCGAACGCTTGTGATTGACGCCCTCATGAGGCGTTTCGGCATGTGCTGGAATCCATCCCCTCTTGATGTGCCAGATGTGCCAGACACGCGCGTTTCCGGGCCACTTCTGATATCTCTTTCATGCGCAAACGGCATTGATGGTAGACAAAGCTGGCTTTGGGAGCGACATGCCAACATAGCTTCCGATGGATCCGAAATCAAATATCTTTCTTGATATCGTTCTGAACTGAATCAAAAAGCTACAGTAGGATGCAAGCTTTGTCGCCTGGAAGTATACACATCTTGGCCACTTTCGCGCTGACAGAAGCGCGTTTCAGAAAGCTTCATGGAGGAAGCAAGACTTGAAGTTGGCTTTCTCTGAAAGACGTCATGATCGACCGGGTATTGGCATACGTTATGGGTGATGCAACACTTTCGTCTGGGCTGATTTGCTGTCCCTTGTGGTTAGAAGGATTGAGAATCAGGACCTCTGTACATGCATCTAGCGCAGTTACATCAACGAAATTTAATTGCATGGAACCCCGCAGCATATATTAAAGAGGGCTCAACAAGGGTCGACATATACTTTCTTCGTTTCACTGCTATCAGCTGATCAGCCGCCTTAAGCTGAAGTACTTTAAGTTAATCGGTTGCCTTGCGGGCTGGATTGCAGTGGATTCGTGAACATTCCATTCCAATATATAGGCAACTTGACTTGGGCATCATCAAGTGCAACTTGACTTGAAGGCCCGTATGTATAATATAAGCTCGCAATCTTGGTTCAAGCCTGCAACTAGAATCAGCTCTCCTTTTTGAGTACTAAGAAATGATCTCTGAAGTTTCAGGGAGAAGCTCAAAAGCCGGAGCCCGACATCACTTGTGCACCATGGTCCTTGAACCTACTACAAAACCCAAAACCACTAGACGATATCGCCACCCACTCGGTTGGAATCACTAGATCCCAGACGCTATTTCAACGCCAGTCCACATCTACTCCTAAGCCTTCCACTCTCTGATCTACGCCATCTTTATATGCCTCCTCACCACCTAACCTGACTTCCTCGAAAAGAACCATCTCTGCTTTCCTAACCATACATGACTGTGCCTATCAGAGCATTTGCTAAGTTTGACTCCTCAAGAGGAAGCGGCCTTAGCCGCGACCCCATTTCCCCCGACCTTGAGCATGTCGCTCATGGTCTTGCCCAGGTCCCGGTACGCCGTCTTCCACAGCTCGACTTCCTTCTCCAGAGTCCCTACCACCTTTTGGTTCTCCCCCTGCGCATCTTCTGAAGCCTTGAGCGCCTTTCTCAACCGCTCCACTTCAGCCTCCAGGTGGCAGATGTTCGCCTTGTCGCTGGCTTCTTGAACCTGGAAAAAAGAGACACTGAAGACTGTTCAGCAGACTGTCATTTAGAAGCCTTTGTGAGTATGCTGCTTCGTAGAAAAACTTGCTGTTTCATCGTCCAAAACATAAGCTATATCAGCCTAAAGCAAACGAGCTGCGGTTGGGCTTTCGGATTACTTAGTGGAGTACTTCGAGTTGAAGCACTGTACTCAACCTCGTCGAGAAGGCTGCTGATGCAAAGAGCAGGCTCTGAACGATAACATTGAGAAAATCAAACAACAAGCTATATACACTATGAAGTCATTGGTTTGTCTCCCTTCAAAGCAAAGAACCTTGCATTCACACTAACGAGCCTGTCACATCACCAGATGGCAACAGAAAGAGCCCCTCAGTCCTCCAGGTGTCTTAGCAAACTTTGACAGTCAGAAACTTTGTCCTTGTTTCTTTTAAAACGGGGCCAAAAGCAAGCAGATTCAACGAAAGAGAGCAAATTGGAGAGGAAGATTACAGTCAAAGTAAACAAACCTTCTTCCTCTGTCGGTGGCGTTTGGCCTTGGCTCTGTCCTTCATTCTCTGCTCCTCAGTACGCGACATGCAGCGTGGTGACTTCCTCCCATTGCAGGCCTTGTCAGAGCTTCCCTTCTCGCCATCTGTCTCCATGTCCTCGGACTCCTCCGGCGCCCCCGCATTGCCAGGGTCCTCCCACTCTGCTTTCCGCTTCTCCGAGCAGGAAGGACCACTTGGCTCTGCGCGGCGTGGGACCAGCTTTGACTTTTGCGCTTGGGGCTGGAAGAAGCGATGATCAGCAACGCCCGTAGGTGAGGGCTGGCTGTTCTGTTGGCTGAAGAAGTCTCGGAACATTGGCAAGCTGTCGCTTTGGGTGGTCTGGAGGGGGAATGCAGACAGGAAGTCGACAGCCCCCGAATTGTCGGTGGCAAGGGGATCCGCTGCGGGCACGGAGGTGCCAGCTGGGAATGCAGGCAGGCTCTCATTCAGCCCTGCCAACAGCGCCTGCATGCTGTCGGCATTCTGAGGAACAGGCTTGACAGCCCCAGCCGCCTGCAGGCTCTGCTCCGAAAAGTTGCTGCGCAAGAACCCGCTCAAGCTGTCTGCGAATCCCATCACAAGGCTTAACTCCACCTGAGCCTTTCCGCAGACTGCTGGGTCATCCTGCTTTTGAGTGGCGCCTTCCAAAGTGGCATCCATTTTCTCTTCGGCAGCCTCTGAGTCTGCAGGGCTGCTGAAAGCAGCAGGGACCTCCTGTTCCTTCTCGCTCTGCTCGTCCCCAGAACTTTGGCTGTGAGCCATCTCCAGCCTAGGATTCTCCTCTGCTGGCTTGGCCGGCTTGTCAGCCTCCACCAACTGTTTCTGCGCTACCTTGTAGCGTGCCTTGGGACACAGAATGGAATTGGAGAGCAATTCCTTCTGGCCCGCTTCTGGTGCATTAGTAGCCCGCTCAGCAAGGATGTCAGTGCAGAATGGACCAAACAGAGGACGGAAAGGCCCCGTCATGTCCACAGCGCCGCAGCTGTCAAGATAGGAGGTGCTGGCTGTACCGTCGCTGATTTGGCAAAGAAATTTTGCTTGTTTGAAAAAAATGTGCTTGTTCACGATTGAAGTTGTGTTGCGGACTGGGGAAAATTCAGTCTTCAGTTGTTCAGTTGTTCAAAAGCATCGTTAGGCGGCTCCCTTGCTCATGCCTGTCGACATCAGACTGAGTCAGTGCTGGCTGAGTCCAGCCCTGTGCATGCAGTCAGACCGACTTCCGAGTGCGCTTTGACCACGACGGAGGGCGATCCCTTTCGCTTGTCGGAATCTCTGTCAATTTGCAGGGCTGATAAAGGAATGGGATCAGCCATCTTAGCGTATTTTGCGTTAGCTTCTGAGTACGGTTAGGCGTACTAACCGCTGGCCGCAACCGGCGTGCAGGACCGCAGGTCCGTGACCGTGTCGATACCACGAGCTAGGGTAGCGTGACCATGACCTCATGCCTACCTCATGCTCAAAGCAGCGTGCCAGCGCCCACAGCATACCAATCATTGTTCCTCCGCGCGGCCGCGCCGGCTACTGGAGTGGGCCGACCACGACTCCGGCGCGGCATCAAGGGTTTCAAGCATAAGTTGCAATAGCGCGATGCCACGTGGACGTGGAGATTGGAATCTTTCAATGCGCAGCTGAAATTTGCATGAACTTGAATTGTCGAAGTTGAACTGAATCAGCGCTTCATCACAAGCTGTGGATTGCCCGGGCGCAATCGCATCACCTATGCCAATGGAGCACCTGCTTGGTTGGCCTGCTAGCTAGTCCTAGATAGTACTTACTCTGCGCTGCACTTTCTTATCCTTCTCAATCATGTCGCTCGTGCTATTTCCCTTGCTGCTGGCTGGCCTGCTCGTTTCTCATGTTGGTCCATGCACATCAGAGAAGGTGGCCATCGTCGGTGGGGGTGTCGGTGGCGCTGCTGCTGCATATTATCTGCACAAGGCTGATGGCCATGCCGAGATCCACTTGTTTGAAAGGGAACAACGGCTGGGGGGGACGCTTCAGGAGGTGACTTTTGAGGGAAGGGTGGTGGAGCTGGGGCACCCTGTCTTTCACAAAAAGAACAAGTTGAGTGCACAGCTGGTGGAGGAGCTGGGCCTAGAGACGGCTGTCCCACAAGGTAGGCAGCATTGCGCGCTTCCATCATATATGAGCCCGCAAAAGGTGTGGGACCTATGCAGTTTGAGGTGCTAGACCAGATTAGTTGCCTGACGGGTTGAACAACTGTCCGCGGCGTTGGTGGTGTCGTTAGTACCGCACTTGGTTTGTTTGCAACCGCTACAAGAGAATGGGATGTGCCTCGCCGTTTACAAAGATAGAAACACCTCACAATTGCCAATTGGGCACTTGCGTACAAGGAGACTCACAATTGAGGACTTCGCACCAAGCAAGTAGATACTTGAATAAAGTCAGAACTGGATGATTGTTTGAACCGATTGCTCCACATCCTGGATAGATATGGATCATTTCAACACAAGAAGTTCCTCATTTTGCAGGCCTGGACGGCTCATATGGCATTTTTGATGGGGAGTCCTTTGTGTATCGGGAGGGCGCAAACGACACGAACGCAGACGACTGGCGCCGCTTCTTTAAGTACCTCACTCGATATACGCTGAACATCCGAGGCATGAAGTTTAACATCCAGGTAAGATTGTCTTTCTCAGATTGTCTGTCACTCAGATTCCTTTCAGTTCAACATCAAACCCCATATCTTGTGTTCTGGGTCAAGTCTTTCTCTTGCAACTGCACAATGAGCGCTTGCTCGAGTTTTCTAGCTTCGTCCTCACTGCCAGCTTGCCTTTTAGGGCCCCTGCCCAAAAGCTTCTCGCTGCTGTCATCACCAAGATTTTTCAGCCATGTCCGATTGCACAATCGGCCCTTCTCCGCCACCCTTGTGCGACAACCGCTTCCCTTGTAAGCAGGGATTCAGTGAAAGTGCCCAGGAAAAAGTATATCTTACCCAACAGTCAAGAGCTTCAACACCCGTATGCAGTACATCTTCATAAGTCTGATACAATCACAGCTACTGGGCAGCACACCAACACACTGGTTGCGTTGCGCAGGCTTACCTGGAGAACTGGGAGAAGCTGTTGGACGACCCCCCGTTTGAGGACGTTCCGGACCTTTTGGACATGGTCAACATGGTGGAAAAAGCTACATACACGCTGGCACAGGACCTCGCAGACTCGTATGGCGCCTTAACCCTTAGGGTGAGCATCCGCACCATGTTTTGAGGAGTCTGAGGTCATCTGGGGGGCCCGGAGGAGGAAGGGGGGCAATCAGGTCTTGATATTGACCTTGTCGCCGTGTCGTTTCTCCCTTTTTAGGCCCAGGGTCGGAGATGAACAGCCCCAAAATGTAGACTCGATAGTCACTCCACTCTTGTATGCCTTTAATAATCAAACCTTGCTTCCGATCAGGGCTCATGATGTCTTGCATGAAACCTTCCGAAGCCCACCTGCGTAATCTTTGCTTCGAAAGTCGTTACTAGATTTCGAGGACTTTTCCTTGGTGTCCCTATCGTAAGTCGGCGGGATCCCCAGGTTGTCCTCAGAAAAGCTCTACGATGGAGCCGAGATTACATGCACAATTAAAAGTTGAGGTCGACGGCAGCTTCCACAAGCCGATACCTTCACTCAATATACTGACGTTCTTGGATATTGTACTGCGCAGGACTTTGGCGCAGCCTCCACACGCTTCGTCTTGGGGCAGGACCCGCCAATAGTCAATTCCGTGGCCGCACACCAGGCACTGAGTGTGTCAAGGTGAGGGAGAGATGTACCAGACCGCCAGGAAGATATAATGCAGCTTAGTCGGTTACTTTGTGGCTATGTAATCGTGCAGAATGTATCCTACTCACCACCTTGCGGCAAGAGACAGCGGCCGGTTCAGAGTGTCGTATTCTTGGAGAACTCCACGGGCAATGGCCATGCTTTCAAATCGCATCAGTGAACGATACGCGTTCAGTCCTGCATGCGTCAAGCGAGGCCTAGAGTTGTTCAAAATGAAGCTTCAAACGAGACCAAGAGTTTGTTTTGATCGAAGTATTTCCCCTGATAAAATCACGGCTCGTTTCTCAACAGGGCCTGCAGAGCGGATCAGCTGTGGAGCGTCAAGGGGGGAGCAAAGCAGCTCGTACAAAAGCTGGTGGACCAGTCCAAGGCAACGGTGCACCTGGGCCATGACGTCAACGGAATTGATGCACGGGCAGATGGGGTTTACGAGGTTGATTGTCGTAACCTTCTGAAGTTGCACCTTGCTTCGATGATTCGACTTGTAATTCGTAGAAGCTTCGAAAGCTGCATGCTCCGACGTTGCGCTGTGCAAGGTGTTCTGGCATAGAAGACAGTGAATTCCCGTGATTGTTGCATGCCTTTCGGGAACAAGTGTCGGCCTCAAAATTGCTTCCAAGTGTGACCGCTACAGTTGTGTCTCGCCTTCGCCTGCTGTATCGCATTTCCGGAATAGGGCCAATCAGCAATCAGCCGTCTTGTCGAAATCGTACTCAGCCATCCCGTACCTATTGTCAAAAGTTGTCCGGGGGTTGGCAATCTGCAGTTGGGGTATACCGTTTAAAATCTCCTTCGACCACGAAGGTATCCGCTGGGTTGTCCCCTCTGTCCCCTTCCTTTCTGCTTGTTTTGAAGGGACTCCCTTGAGATGCTACGCGTTCCTCTCATGTAAATCGAGTCCGATCATCTTAATCATCTCGGATGAAACTCCCGGCCATCAGCCCTGCCGAATTACTTCGACCTTCCCTGCGTCTTCAACCTTCCCTCCGACGTCTCTTTCCCTCCCCAGGTCCGCCACAAGGGGGGCGGCAAGACCGTTTCGGAGGCGTTCGACGTGGTCATCATCTCCGCGCCGCTAGATCCGGACGAGTTGGCGCTGCCGGACGGCGTGGACGCGGGGCCGGACATCGACTGGCTGGACCAGGAGGTGACGCTCGTCAAGGGGACGCTCAACCAGGTGAGCTGCGGCCGGGGGCCAACGAGCAGCATCACAACTCCTTCTCTTTTGTTCTTCGTTGTGTTTTACTCGTTGCCTTGAAGGTTCGTTTATTCGCTTGCTTTCCTATCTTCATTTTAGTGCCGGAAGTTCGGCGCGCTTTTCTGAGAGCTGCGTTTCTAACCTATGCGAGTCTTGTTATATTGTATTGTAGCGCCACGAATGAGCGGCTGGGATCGAACGGCTGGAACATCCGTCGAGATACGCAAGAAGCTCTGAGGGAGGAACTTTCAGAAGGTACGTCCGAAGCCTTGGAAGCAGCCGCCACGTATTCTCGAGCTCTGCTCTCTGCTCTGCTGACGTCTGACGATGTGTGGGGGGCATGCAGACCACGTTCAAGGTGGGCAAGAATGAGACGCTTCCTGACGTCATCGCCACGGTGGACACCGTCTTCTTCCCAATCCACGCGCTGCGCCGCCTGTGGACCTTCCCGGATGGAGAGCACGCGTTCCTGGTGACCATGGCCGAGAAAATGACCGACGAAATGGTCAACGACTGCTTCAGGTACCAGAGGCTATCTGATTGACTCAAGACTGTCCTAGAAGATTGGTTGACTGAAGCCGTTAGTCAAGACAGGTTTTTGAGCACGCTCTCACGTGAGTCCTCCTATGCTTGCGAATCCTGCGCAGAATAAGTACTCGTATATAGTTGTCAGCTCGTATTCAGTCTTCTCTGAGTCAGGCCTGGTTACGCTCGCTCTCGTCGGTAGATCTAAGCCTGATTGCCTGATCTTGTTGATCTGTGGGGAACCATACGACGTGCGGGTGCTAATGTTAGTCCAACTCTATTGAAGTGATTGCTTTGTCAACGGAGCAACCCTTCATTGAAGACCTTTGAAAGAGAAGCGCTGATCGCTGCCTCCGCTTTCCAGTCAAGGCTGTCTGAAGTTTCGACTTCCGTCGTTTCGACAATTCATTCAATGTATTCATTGTTCCCGATTATCAGACGTCCCACGTTCTCTTGCAGCCACGTGTCGAAGATCAAGCGGATGACGCTGGAGAACGTGTGGCCGGACCTGAGCGCCAAGGGCAAAGGCGCCAAGTACCCTCCAATTCAATTAGATGGCAAGAAGCTCCTGTTCCCCGCAGCCGTCGAGTCAGTAGTGAGCGGACTCGAGGCCACAATAATCTCAGCCAGGAACGCCGTTAGGTTGCTGCTGGAACCCAAAGAAGCCCCGATTGAGGAAAGTGTGGTGGCGGTTGAGGAGGCAACCGAGAGGGTTAATGTGGGCAAGGTGCCGGAGCATGTTCTGGGGGAGAAGACGGGGGCGGAGACCGCAGATCTGCCGGATCGGACGGAGTTGTGACGTGCTGCATGCTTTGTTTTTGGCGTATCTTGAAAATCTCTGCTCAAACCAACGCTGTTGGATTGTAAGCCAAGATTGAGTGCCACTATGAGTGGTTACGGACGTTTCCGCCAGCGATGGTCAAGGCCCATGCCATGCATGTCTCGTTCTGGCGTTGCCAAACGTCGGTTGTGTCGAATGCAATATATTTGATTCAATTGCATCTGCAATTGTTGGATCGACGCGACACGCGATTTTCGTCGAGATGCATGTGAACCCAGCCATGCAGTGTATGAATCAACGAATTCTTTATGCAAGGTCATCCGGAAGGATTGCATGATAAGCCCTCTGAGTGGCCGGAGCACATATATACTAATACGCCTAGTAGGTTGCATTTAAACTTCATTCATGCATGTACATGTACGCGGGATACAGAACGTTACGACAATATCATGCATGTTGAATGAATTGTTGCTTGCGGGCGCGGCCACTTCTTTGAGAGGTAGTAGCAGTGACATGGACGTACCCGTGGTGTAGGTGGCCGGAAAGCTTCAAAACTCCATCCGACATCGTGAATCGAGTAGCCGAGACCACAATTGTTGCAAAGGAATTAAGTACATGACAACATAGCACCTTGATATACAGGCGGCCGATGATGCTGCACATCGAGGCATGTCGCAAGCTGTTAATAGTATAAGAAGATATCCACTGCGCATGGCACTCCGGTGAGTCCTTCGATCAATTTTCAGTTTCATTTACCACTATGTCTCGGTGACGCCCTCTTTGCTTACAATGGTCCTTCTATCAGTGTTGTTACCTCATCCAGCGTTTCAATCAGGCTTTGTCTTCCACAGCCACCTCGCTGGTTCCTTCCTTCTCACTCTCTTTCTTTTGTGCTTCCCAATCTGCTCTCGCCTTCGCGTATGCTTCCCGTTGCCGCATGCGCACCTTTTCTTCTAATCTCCGCCGGGCTAGCTTACACTCGGGGTGCGCCCCCGACATTACTTTCTGCAGTCCGTCCAGGACGTGCGTCTTACTCAGGGGGGCGCCGGTCTTAGCCATGGCCATTCCGCTCGGGGTCAGGTACATGAAGCACGGCACGTACGAAACGTCGTAGTGAACGACCTGCACGAAGGCAGAGTTGGACTACGTCCGAAATGGCGAAAATCCTGGGGAAACATGAATAGAGGCGCGTCGCCACAAACCCAACTGACCCCGGAGTGACTCTATTGGGGAGGTACTATACTTCACTAAGCATTCAGCGTGCAAACGAGAATAAGAAAAGAAGTGGAGGCAAAAAGGTGCAAATATTGAGAACGGCCGATCGGCGATGGGCCGTTCTTCCTTTACAGTTTGAATTGAGCCCCGGCTCGAACCAGTGCCTGGACGGTTTCATTATCGAACATTCGTCCTTTTTGAAGGAAGCCCGTTTGCCAGGACGAGACTGCCAAAATCTCACCTCCGGCATCCAGCTCTGGTTGTCGACATCGACGTAGCAGACGTCCAGCCACCAGGACTCTTTTCGCGCCATGTCGTTGACCATTGGGGTCATCGACTTGCACAGCTGGCAGTTCTTCGAGTAGAACATCACCAGGGACGCATGCCTGGAATATGCAAAGTTCGTAATGTCAAAAGAGTTGGGGACCCACGAAAACCCTCTGGAGTAAGCTTCCTGAACGCTTGCTGAGAGAAGTCCAGCCGAAGTATTGCATGGAGGGGCACTCAAGGAATAACGTTTGAGTTGGCGGGAAAAAATAATATCATTGACCAGGCTCAGATTGGCTCATAGGAGCATGCATTGGGAGCCGCGCACACCCGTCAAGAAACAACCCTGCCAACAGTTCCACTCAAAGTCTTCCAGACTTACAGTGGGGAAGAGACTGTAAAAGGTTGACTCAAAACGAGATGATATGTGAAGCCTCACTTTTTGCGCAGCAAGCTCTTGGCCAGCGCCTTCTCCTCCCACGCCGCCACCGACTCTTTCGATGGCGGGCGCTTCTTCCCCGCTGCAAGCAGGCCGAGTTGCAGGCCAAGTTCAAACCAGCAAGTGTTCCTTAAAGTGGGGCGAAAACTTACAGATGGATGCTTCAGGCAGACACAGGGTATGTTGGTAGTCTATCGTTTGCATCTGCCTCATTCTTTCTTCAAGTAATCTGAACTCTCAAAGGTTTGAGGGACAAGAGACTCACTGGCTGCGTGCACCATGTCTCGCACTTCCTCCACAAAGCCCGCAACTAATTCTAGTGGGTTCGAGATGTGGAAGGGTCGTTTCTCCTTGACGGCTCCACCTCGCACAGGGCCGCCCCCAGACGGCGGTCCACCCACACCTCCCTGAGGTGAACGCAACCTTGGGCCAGCCGCCCCTCCTGCTTTCCTACCAGCACCGTCTCTGCTCCGACCACCAGGAACCTCAGTGGCTGGCGCCTTTCTGTCAATTGACCCTTTTGATTGCGCAGAGAAGAGCAGTCCTTGCTGTGTGCCGTTCGGCGCACCAGCTGGTTTCAAGCGTCCCGCCTGTTTCTTCAAAGACTCATGGCTTGTACCCTGTGGTGAGGGGGAAGCTTTGGACTCCGCGTCTGCTTCGGTGCTTCTGACTGACACTGTGAGGAAAGCACTTGAATTCTGGGCACCGCGAACACCTCTTCGACCTCTGCCTCTATAGTGCCTAGATTCATTTGAGACGTCACTCGTTTCGTCTCGTAATTCCCGGCCAGAATTTCCAACACAGTCCTGGCCTTCATCACTCTCGCTGGCCCTTCGTCGAGGTATGTCCGAGAACAGTGGCTTGAGATAGTGCAAACTTCCTCCGGGCTGAAAGGCACTGGCGCAAGACGAGAAAGGGCTGCCCTCAACGGAAGGAGCAATGCTGAGATCTGCACCCTGGCTCCAGAAGCGTGATATGTTCATCATGTTCTGTGACATTCTCTGCCCCTCCTCCTGCCCTTCTACCGTCGTCATGACGTTTAGACGGTGTGTCTTATGCATTAAGGGCACACCACCTTTACCATCGAGCAGGTTCCTGCTTCCGCTTTTTCCGCCACCTCGTGGTTTCGCAACAGACTCTGTCTCCTTCCGGTCCCGTTTTTCCTGACGCACTTGACTAGAGGAGACACCCTGCTTTGACTGGTGAATTGCAGAATGCGGGGTCAAGGTGTGACCGCACCCACTTCCTTCTGCCCCCAGTTGATCGCACAGCCACTGACCACTCAACCAGTTCTTCACCCAGCGCACTGCAACTCCTGCTTGCCCATGCACAACCCAAGGCATTTGACACCCGACTCACACAATAGCCAGAGCCCAACGTCCTCTTTCACGACTCAAATGAATATTGGGGACAGGCATGGGGCGCCAATTGGAGATGCTGAAGCTGATGAGTTTCGGACATTTCAGTGAGAAATACTTGGTGAAAGCACTGAAGCCTGTGAAGGGAGTCTGCAGCCTCAGACTAGATAGTGTCTAGAGTCGGATGAGTCCGAGTCCACATGCAGGATTCCCGTGTGCCACTCGGCCAGAGCCCAGGGGCCAGAAAATGAGGAAGGCGCTCTTGAAAGCTTTCCATGGGGCGGCATTGCGCCACAATGCCCTCTGCTTGGCCAGTTTGGGGCTTCATTTGTTGTAATTGTACTCCTTGAAGCACAAATGCACCTCGCCCAGAGCTCAATTGTACAAAATGTGAGGGATTGCGGGTTGATTGAACTGGAACTGGTGGGTCAGCAGTGCCGGCGGCACAATGCAGCAATCACCATCCGTGCTTCAAATTAAGGTGCGTTAGATGCTGACGTCATGAATACAGCCGCTTCCTGACACTCCGCTCTGTAGGGCACCTCGCAAGAGGCTGCTTGAGGGGATGCTCCACTGGCGTGCACTTGCGATGTGCCCGGCTTTGATGTGGTGTTGTTTGATCTGTGCACCTGATGGAAGCTACCATCAGCCCTATGATGAAACTCCTGGTCTTGTGCCCAAGCATCGCAGATTTTTCGTTGTCTCCCTTGCTTTCACTGCATATATTGATTGTATCAAACCAGTGACCTTGTTTGTGTAGGCCGTACATGTGTCACCTGAGTAAGTCATCAGGCCAACGCTCAATTCTGAATTGGCAATTGAGAGGGATGCCCACACACACTCAATTGAAACCTCCAATGGGTATGTGCAAGTTCTACCGGAGTCCTGTGACATCATTCAAAGAGCACTGTTGTCCAGCTAGCCCGGTGTCCTGCTGACGTAGGAAAGGACATGGTTGATGTAGCACTGACAAACAGCCTTTTGAGTCGAGAGAACTTGATCATTGGTTCAATCAAAGTACACCGTCCGTCTACATTTGTGCAACTCAGACAATCAAAGTGCATCAGCGCACAAGCCCTAGATCAGTTGCACCGCCACCTTCGAGTAGCATCTGCATGGTGCACACCAAGTCCCTCATTGCCCTTGCCTTTTTCGTGGCACTGCTTAGACTGCATCGAGAAAAAGTTGCCACCTCCAACTGGCAGACTGCCAATCTTAAGCATAAGGGCGCAGTTGCGAGCACAGCCGTGTAGGCATAGTGGTGGTAGTTGGACCGCCGGTCAAGGGATGGCCGCAGTTACAGTACCGCCCAAGCTGCTGACGCTGCTTATCGTCCACAAGCTGGGGAGGGTTCTTCTGGGAAGGAAGAAGCGGGGGTAAGGCAAGTCTCCTCCGCTGCTAGTCGCTGATGGAAGCTGTCTCTAACCATGAATACTTCCCCAGGAACTCGTGGTTCCCCTTCCGATTCTTGGAAGTGATATTCGGAGATCAGACCTAGCCTCTGCATATATGTCGACTGAGTGCATACATGCCATCCAGTGTTTGCAAGGGCCAGGCGTTTTGGTGGCACTCCCTTTCTTTTGAAGTCCTTGAAGACACCATCTTTATGCCCTCACCAACAACAGGGCTCCTTGGAAGGTGTGGCAGAGTCTGCCTTGCAGCCTTCTGTGGACGCTGGAGATCCCTTATGTCCTTGACCTGTCTTTGACATTATGGTGGATTCTGCAAAACGTTTCCTGCAGTTTTGGGGAAGGCTACTACAATGGATTCGGTGGCAAGGTCGAACCTGGCGAGACAATCGAAGAGGCTGCAATCAGAGAGGTCAGGCCCACAACCTCCGTTAGTAAAAGCCTACTTATTTTGGGCGCATCAACTTGTTGCTCCCTTAATTGATCACTATGAATTCTGCCCATACCAAGTGAATGTCTGAACCCACGATTAGTGCTGTCGAAGTGACCGTTTGGGTTTTGTGTCCAGATGCGAGAAGAGGCCGGTGTAGATCCGGTGGGGCTGGAGTGTCGAGGCCTCTTGACGTTCCACTTCGATGATCAGGAGCGGCCCTGGGAGGTGAGAGATCGACCCGCTCAGCCACTCCTTTCGCCCTGTCGTTGCTCCATGCGTTTGCGTTTGGTCGCGAGTGGACGCTCTCTCTTTATCGGCACGTAGGTCGAAGTCCTAAACCGAGTCCGTACTTACGTAGATCTCGCGGTTGAGAGGAGAGGCTTTGCGACGCTTGAAAAGATGCAAGGTGAAGAGAAAGTGCCGTCATGGTGTTTTGGTCATTCGTGTGCCTGCCACGAATCAACCCGCCTGGTATGTAAGAAAAGACAAACAAAAACCCAAATTTAAGAGTCTTTAATTTTACGCTCAGTAGTAACGACTGTCCGAGATTTGAAGACGGGGACCGTCGTGAAATTTTCTTCAGGTACACGTGTACCATGCGGCGGATATTCGAGGGGAGCCCTGTGAAACGGACGAGATGGCTCCCGTTTGGTTTGCTGTTGACGATATCCCTTTTGGTAAGCCGAAGACCCTTTCCTCACATTGATCTCGAGTGCACTGGACAAACTGCATCTAGTCGAAGAAGGAGGAAACCCAGACGCTGGCTTGAAGATGCGACGCCTGCGAGTGACTCATACCTTTCTTTCAGTTTTCGCTGCGCTGCGCAATACAGTTTTCGTGAAAAGGTTTGTGTAGGGCACGTATGCAGAAACACGATCTTATTTTCAACAAACCTATGCTCCGTCTCCCTCACCGGTTGCATTCCCTGGATATGATTCGGAACGTGATTTTAAGTATGTTTCGAAAGAAATGACGGGAAGATGGTTGCCGACTTGCAAGCGACGGGTTGTCACGTACATTAGCGACTTCATAAGGTCGACTCCATGGAGTCGATAGCCCACGGCTTACTCGAGGGTTCGCTTGATGTAAGTTGAAGTCAGGCATCATGACTTGTGAGGTCGGCCTCTGTAGATCGAATGTGGGCCGACGATCCCCACTGGTATCCCATCTTCTTGCAAGGCAAGTTCCAACTTACTGTCCTGCTGCCACAATTTTATGCAATTGTTTGCGAAACCTTGCAATGCGTTGCACAGAGGCGTAAGGTGCTTGAATGTAGCACACAGCTATAATCAGTCAAGAAACACGCTCGCATATACCCATTGCGGCCGTTGCTACCTCTGGTCAAGTACCGCTTGACAGCTTGTTTGATTTTTGCAGGGAAGAAGTTTAAAGGCACCTTCCACTTTCAGAATACGCATACTATGACCTCACATGCAGTGCAGGTCCTATGAAAGTGAGGTTGTTGACAGTTGCAAGTTGCCACAGTGATTGCTTACGCAAGTTACTTGAAACCAATCACTGCACGTGTGCTTGCGCAATTATTAATCTCAATCTCCGATACAGAACGATTGAAGGTAACCCTGTACAAGCATTAGCTTTGTTTACACTGCACTATTGCATACCTACGCGCCGGTTAGGCCATATGACAGCTTCTATCGAAAAGGACCGTTTCGACCAACAAGAAGCAATGTAATGGTTCGATGGTGCATTGGTTGATTGTGCAAATGAGGTTGATACGTGCATCAGACATGGCATCATTGCAATCGTAGCCTCAGTCGATTGTCCACTGAGGGCCGCAAACTTGGTCACCGGCGTCATGCACCAATGATGCTTGCGTAGTCCAGCTTTAGGACATCTCTCCGCACCAAACCGGCCCTTGCAGGCTACACTAAGCTGATCTCACCCGTCCCACTACCTTCATGAGAATTAATCAACTGGGACATGCATCATGACTAGGGCTGCATGATCGCTATCAAAAAGATTCTATGCGCTCAACATAACTTAAGGAGCCGCCCGCACTAATTTGAAGTGTGAGAACAAACATGATAAGAGCATGTTCGCAACTCAGTACAGTATCCATGAATCTGGAAGTCGTTCGAGGCCCGCGTAGTTGCATCGCATGAAAGCGCTCACTTGCGGGTTGAACTCCGATGATCATGCAGTTGCTTACCATAATTTGATCACTAAGAGCGAGTCCATTGGAGGGATTTGATGAGATAGAAAGTGGAATGCATCACCCCGAGATTGAAGCAATCCCAGTGACTGAAAAACCATGTGAAAGACATGGTTGGCCCCATCAATGCGGTCCCGCTTGCCAACCCCATCCAATCCCTCGATCATCCTAAGCGTAAAACCGAAACCTCATCATTAGCAGCTAAACCAACCTCTATTTACAACTACCCAGAAGCTGACCGTCCGCTAGTTGCGCTGTTTGCAATGAGAGACTAGCTTTTGAGCCCTACATCACGTGATGGATGCAATGCTTCTTACCTTCCGAATTTGCAGCGCTTGCGCATGTTTTCTGTCGCTTCAGAAACCTTAGCACCTCCTTTCTAATCGAACAGTCTTTGCATTGGCAGTCTTGCGGTAAAGGAAAATTCAGTATGAGAAAGCCTTGCCAGCTCCTAATAATCACTCCGTTTCTTTGCAAAGCGCAAACATCGATAGTTTTCTTTTCCCAGGGTAATTTCTAGTACCCCGTCCCCCTCCTCAGCTTTTCCTTCGAACACCCGTTTTTGCTTGTCTAGAGCAAGTCGCTCCTCCCTTAGCTTCCTCTCCGCATCTTCGCATGCTCGCTGCAAGAAGTTCAGATACACTTACTAAGCCAACTCAGCTCAAAGGACACCCGTGTGTCTAACGTAGTGAACTAGACTCTTAAAAGCATGACCAGAGGTAGACCAAGCTCTCTCCGACTTCATAAAGATTTGAAAGATATGAGTGTCTTCTTATCTGATGCAAGTGCACAAACAGGCTTTGCCTCCTTGTGATGAGCAGAGCAACCTGTCAGGAACAACCTCAAATCTCATAGATAATGGCTTCAAGTCACCCACTCAGTGCGGTGGCTTGACGTACATTGTGCCTCTTGAATCGGGCCAGCGACTCTGAGATGTAGGACACTGACTCCTGAATCCCATCACCTTCCCTGTATGATTCATCCAACATCACCCACCCAGAATCTGCTCTACTACAAGAACCTCACTTGAGTGAACTCCTTTTTGCCTTACAGTCGGTCGTCTAAGATCTGGGACTCTGGCAGGTCGCTGGAGGCTGCTTTCAAGACCATGCCTATCTCCAAATCAGTCTCAAATGGGCATTGCATTACAGTGCTGCTAAGAGCCTGCTGCTGTTCAGAACCCTAGCGTTTTGAAGCTGGACATTGCTGGAAGTGACTACAACAGCAGGAAATTCTGGGGCTTTCCACTTAGCGACCCGGAAGATAAGCAAGTGATGTATCGAGCGACCCAACCATGTAAGGTTCTCAGGAAACTGTCAGATGTCCCAGCCTAACAATGACCTCGCCAAATTACCATACATGGACATACATGAGGGCCTGAACAAGCTTGAACGGCAGAAGGATGTCCAGAAAGAGGGTGCTGCGCTCATTGGCAGAGCCTACCTCTCGTCGCTCCAGCTCCCTCTTCCATGCAGACTCTCGCTCTTCCATTTCAAATTCCCGTTCTTGAAAATGCCTGTGAAAGTCCTTTTCTCTTGCCTCTTGCTCCTCTTTCTCTTTATTCAACTGATTCTTTAATTTGCCCACAAAATCGCTGATCATATTGTACGTCGGATCTGACATCTTTCCTGTTGTCAGGCCAGACAATTGCTTCTCTTTGCTTGATTGAAAGCTCTCCTGGATGCTTGCAGCGGTTGCACAGGATTCAAACAGTCCCCCAACAAATCAGGCCTTGGTGGCCACAGCCTCAGGACAGCTCGCACCTTTTCGCTCTTCTGCAGATGCTGCATTTGGAGAGCTGACCTTCACTGTCAGACATGGTTTCTTTAGACGAATTTGCAAGGATTCTTCCTGCCAAAAAATTGTGGAACAGTGGGGTACCTATACGTACGGCCCAAATCTGGATCATTAGCGCCACAATGTCAAATTCAATGACAATGTATCCGTTGTTCCTGCTTGAAATGTTACGAGATTATGGCCGAAGTAGATATTCCAATCAAACGGTGGTCATATGCAACCATTCTTGCCAGTTTCCTTCTGACATCAACTGGTCAAATAAATACCCACACCTAGCGCCATGCCAGTGGACTAGAACCCATTCTGACTCGCAAGAGCAAGAAGAGCTTTTGCACTGCATCGGGGTCCAGGTTTACAAAAAGGGGCGGGCAGTCGTTGTGGTTCGTTGCTATCCATCCAGCACATCAAGAAGGACCGCCGGTGGTAAGAGAAAGGACTCTCTTCTAATGGGTGAGTGAGCCTTGTCTTGCTTGACTTTTGGATGCAATCAGCTGGTGATTGACATCAAAGTTTCATTATCATGTTTTCGAGATTCAAAGAGACTTACAAGGTTCTCTGACATCGCTGGGCAAGATCTTTCAAGCTGCAATCTATCAACATTAGCGTGTAATTAAAGAGTTCCATTTACCCTTGATTTTAATAGCGTCTCTAATCAAGTGGGGATGCTCGTCGATTTGTGTCAACTTTCTGCTTTTAAGGTTCTTACATTTGTTGACCCGACTTGGGGTACACTGGTCGCTGCATTTTGATGTGCTTCATCGGTCCTCCCTGTAGCCCACACCATTTTGCCTTCGGTAGACTTTTGATCACTTGCAGCAGATTGGGTGGTGCCTGGCCATAGGAATTAGAAGGGTGAAAGAAGGCTCTCCGTCAAAATCCTGTATATGCTTTCTTCTGAAGAGATGCGTCTCATTTGAGACGTGCGGATCTTCTTAAGACCATTTGTTTTAAGACATGTATATTGGACTCTTGCTAGACTTGATACTGATTAGGGTTTGTAGAAACATTCCAAGTGCCTCTCAGTATCGCTTAGAGTTTATGACCACTAGCAGAAGCTTGTTCACAAGGGTCAGCTGAAAATTGTTTAGAAAAGACCATCGTACCCCAAAATGGTGGTCATTGTTGATGATTCTCTTCATTCACTCTGAAGGACTCTGTCAACAAGTTGGGTGGCAATCAGAGTCCACTTCATTCAAAACGTGCTAGGTTGAGCTTGTCAGTGCAATCAAAGTTGTTTGAAGCAGGAAGTGCCAAATTGTTGACAATTCTCCTGTTTCGGTCATGTCTCAGGTCCCAAAGAGCTCAGTGGTGATGCCTAGATGGCTGGCCGTAGCATAGCAGGCAGAGGGCTGGGCAGCTATGGGGTGGATCGCCGCTTTGATGGCGATGCCAGACCGCCTTTTGACGAGCCGCCCAACCCTCGGGCGTGGCCTGGCGGAGGCGGGGGCAGGAGTGGGTTCAGCAGGGCTGGGAGAGGTCCTCCGGTATGCTTCAACTGCCAAAAGCCAGGGCACATGCGAAGCGCCTGCCCGAGTGCCCCCACTGGCGGACGCTTCTCTGGCCCCGCAGCGGAGCGGGGGTCAATGCTGAGGGACGCGCGAGAGCTCGAGTATGGGGACAGGGACTCGGGGTTCCCCCAACAAGGACGGCTCAACGGCACGACACTTGGTGGGCCGCCAGAGAGGTGGCACAGGCCTGGGGATGAGTATGCTGGTGCCCACTTCAATCCCCCAGGGGCAGGGCCGCCTAGGGGGGGAGGCGGCAGGGGGGGGTGCTACACGTGTGGACAATCGGGACACTTTGCAAGAGAGTGTCCTAGCAGGAGGGAGCCAGCGGGGCCCCCCGGGCGCAGAAATGAGGAGGAAGATTGGCGGAGCCCCCCTCGAAAGGCCGGAGTCAATGGGGTCGCTCGGAAGGTGTGGCTCTACGAAGACCTGGAAGGGAAGCTGCGGGGGCCCTATGACCTGGAGCAACTCCAAAAGTGGCTCCAAAGCGGCCACTTTGAAGTCGACCAGATTGTCTGCGCTGAGGGCAGTGTGCAGCGGACCACCCTCGGGCGAGTTCTCGGCCTGCCGCCACGCCAGGATCCTGGCCCCCAGTCACGGCCGCCGAATGCTCCGTCCATGCAGAGAGAAGATCCCCCTTTCCATGCAGCAGACAAACCCCCCCCGCCGCGGAAGTCTCGTTTCGATAGCTGGTCCTCCCAGGTGCCGGCCGAGCCCTCTGGCTGCCCTCCGCCTGGCTTTTCCCCTGCTGCACCAATGTTACCCATCAAGTCCGCTCAGCTCCCGAGACTGCACATACCTGACGGCCCCTCCCCTCCAGTACCAGGACCCCCGCTATCGAGCACGCCGCCACCTGCGGACACTCCTTCAGTGGCAGCAACCCCGTCCATCGTTAGTAGCATCTCTCCTAGTCCCGCAACCAGCGTCAGCCCCCACCCACACGGGTTTGCTTTCCCTACACCCCCCGCAGCTCAATCGCCCGCAACGCATGGGCGGCCATCTCAGGCGTCGCAGCCAAGCGAGAACCCTGGCAAGGAACACCAGCCTGCAGTGTCGGTGTTGCAAAACGGACAGGCTTGGGGTAATGCGGTCGCGGTGCTAGAAAAAGAGACCCCGACGCCGCACATCCAGTGGGAGAACGGGTATGATGGGACGTCCGACTTGTCGGGGAGTGAGCCGGGAAGCCCGATGCACATGAGCCCCCGCGCTGCGCTGGGGCAGCAGCTGCTGGATCAGCTGGACTCACCGAAGCAGGAGATCTCCAGGAGGGTGGAGCGCATCCTGCGAGACGCAGAGCTTGGGGATGAGGCGCCAGTGGAACAGCGAATGGACGTTGTGATTGGTGAGCGTGCTTCTCCTTGGAAGCTCCCAGATATATGACGAGGTTTTTGTCCAAGGGTATAAGCAGAGAGTAAGTAAGGTGATGAGCAGCATGGCAGTGGTGTTATGGTGTCGTGAGGCTGAGGCGTAACTTGAAGCCAACCCGTACTTGCTGAACTTCAAGTGAGTAATCTGAGTCTCATGAGCAGGCAAGATATGTTCCAGTCAAGCACTACACTTATTTGAGAACGCGGCGTGAGCAGATAGAGGTTGTTGTCGCTTGGAAACAGCAGACACCACGTTTTATTTCTGAAAAGTATTCGACCGTATTTGGTTTTTTTGTTCGCAGGCATTCTGGGCCGCAGGTTGCTGGACAGAGAGGGCAAGGAGGAGAAGGAGATGAGGAGCTTCGGTGAGTGCAAATGCTTCTGATTAGGGAAAATGTTGCTCTTTGGGTGCTCCATCTGTCAGTTCTGGGTGGTAAGTTGAAACAAGGATTCACCTGGGTGACAAAAGAAGGGAACATCAAAAGTCGCCAATCATCCTTGAAGAAAAGTGTCCTTCAAGGGTGACGTTGAAGAGGAATGCGGTGCCGAGTACACTACGAGGTGCTTCCAAGTTTCTTGCTGTTTCAGTAGTCTTTCTTGTTGCTAAGCTTATCAGTTGAGTAAACAAGGACTTTTTGATTCGCTCCAGCTTCACAAATTCTTTGTCAAAATTGCTCATTGTGTAGTTTGTTCCGCTCTGTCTTTCCGCTTTCCTCTCATGTGACAATTCGTCCTTAACCTCATCCTCTTCTCCAGTGTATGGGTCTCACGCTGAAGTGGAACCAGAGGTCCCCATCGTCTCTGCCTGGAAGCATGGGTACGGCTTTGGCGAGATGGTCGCCGCAGAGGCCCGGGAATCCAGCGCTGCCCCCTCGAACGAGTTCAATCTGGACCCCGACCTTTTTTACCATGCTTACGGACCCGGAAATAGTGGCAAGGGCGGCCAACAATTCTACCACGACGAGGAGGCGGCTCTAGGGGAGCCCGACCATGAGGGCGGGGCGCCAGTCTACGAATTGGACAGGGAGCGGGAGAAGCAGGACCCCGCAAAGTGGCTGCTCCGGGGGGGGGACTGGAAGCTGGAGAACGACCCCCAGCTGAAGCTAGACGACGAGACTGTAAACCCACCTCCGCTTTGTAAGTACGTGCTGAACCGGGGGCTGCCGCTGTGTGGGGAGGAGGCTCCTGAGGTCGATCCGGAGCTGGGGGAGGGGCCAAAAGACCCGAGGCTTGGGGGCTCATTCAGGGCGGCAATGCAAGAGGCAGTGCGGGCCGACTTCGCGAAACTAGAGGTGCCAGCGTTCGGGCAGGGGGGGATCCCGGCCACGCTGCTGAAAGCAGCGGAAAAGGCGCGGGCGAGCCGCCCTGTTACGGCCTCCCCGAGCCCGTCAATAACATCACCCACGGAGAACGTTCGGCCGCCGGTTCCCGCAAGAAAGATCCCGAAAAAGCCCGGTGCTGTCGTAAAGAAAGCGGGAGTTTTGAAGAAGACGCCTTCAACTCCGGGACTGGCAAAAAGTGAGGCGGCAACTCCGTCTCCGTCTGGGGCAGGGTCCGAGACGCCAGTTCTGGCCAGGCTCAAAGTCGAAGCGGGCGAGCAGAAAGCGGGCGGGAGGTCGGAGTCTCCTGCAGCGCGGGCGCTCGCCAACGGGCTCCCTCGAAAATCTTCCCAGCTGGCATCCACTCCCAAGGACTCTCCCAAGGACACGCCAAGGAAGGCAAGGGCTTCCAAATGGGACGAGGGCAAGCCAGGGATGAAGCCAGCGGAGCGGCCCCCAAAGAAGATGAGCCTGGCAGAGGCGGTAGAGGCGGCAAAGCGGGAGGCTTCGAAGCTGGGGCCGGAAGAGGGGCAGTGGTTTTACTTGGACGGCCAGGGCTTGCCTCGGGGGCCGCACTCCCTGCCCCAGTTGCGGGTCATGGCGTCACAGGGCAAGATAATGGAGGGCATCAGTGCCTGGCGCATGGCTGACGACACCTGGACTCCGATCACCAAGCAGCCGCTTACCCGCACCCCGCCTCGGTTCCCGCTTCCCTCGGGGCCATTCACACCCGGCCCGCCCCCGCCAGGCTATGCTGGGCCCTGGCCCCGGGCTCCGTCACTGGGAATGCCCGCCTGGCAGCCTCCGCGGAGGGGTGTGCCTTTCCAGCCGCCTTTGCCGCCGGGGCTGCCTCCTGGGGGGTCGGTAACGCCTTCCCGGAGCAGGTGTGAGGAGCCCGCCAAAGTGGGGAAGGCGGACGAGAGGAGTGTGCCGGCGCAGCTGGTGGCGATGGTGCGGGGGAAGCTGCACGAGCAGGTGGTCAAGACGGCGCGCACCAAGGTCCTGGACGCCGCCATCGATGCTGCGCTCGGGGCGTGGTTGCAAGCGAAACTGGGTGGGCCTCTTGCCCCAGAGCCAACGGAGCCGGAAGCTCCAAGGAGGCGGGTAGGAGAAGTGGAAACCGCTGGAGAGGATCTGACAGACAGCGCGTCTGCAGCAGTTCCGAGCGAGGGGGGGACAGAGCAGGCGGAAGCAGCGCCCCCCCAGGAGGAGAGGCCGGCGTCGGCAGACGCGGCTGGACCGCGGGAGCCGTTTGCGAACGAGGCGGAGGACCCGGAGGCATTGCGGTCGCTGGAAAAGTTCCTCAAGAGCCGGCGGTCCATTGCGTACATCTTCCTGGATGCGTGCAAGTCGGCGCGGGGGGGCATGGACATGGCGCTGCTGGCGCGCTATGCGTGCGTGTGCAAGGGCTTCCGGAAGGGCGCGGAACTGGCCAAGCTGCGCATGTTCAAGGCGGACTTCTCGGGCCTTGCCGAGCGCTGCAGCGATGCTGCGCTCAAGTCGCTCGAGGTAAGGCTACTGTTCCTCTGGATTCTGGATAGCTCATGGTATTTGGCCTGCTGCAGGCCAAGTCAATTGCAGACTCGTATTTGTGGCCCGACTAGTGCGCCCTACCGCGAGTGAGTTCGGCCGAAGAGCATTGCGTTATTGCTGTTCCCGGATGTTCTTTTGCAGAAAGTCGGCAGCCGGAGTTCAGTATGCTTTGCAGAGTGTCTGTCAGCGGTCGCAAGCATTTTGGCCTTTCCTAGCAAGGCAGCGGGAGGCCCTTCCTGCTGTCCGTCGTCGAAATTCCATTCGTCCCCGGTCTTCAGCGCCGAAAATAATGTCCCCTCTCCATCCGTAAGTCCCTTTTCCTCTTCTCCAGACTTGCGGGGAGGGCCTGGTCAAGTTCGTGTACCTGAACGGCTGCGTCAATGTGACCCCCGAGGCCGTCGAAGACCTGCTGCGCGCGCAGCCCAGCATTCGCTGCGTCGACATCCAGGGCTGCGTGCAGCTCTACTCGCTCGCGCGCAGCACGGCGCACATCAAGTGGCGCAACCTGCCGGAGGCGTTGCTAGAGGTGCCGGGCGGCGCAAATGCGCTGCCGCCGGAGCTCTTGGAGGACCAGCAGAAGCGGCGCGAGAAGTTCGCCAAGGCGCGCCAGCTGCGCGGCATCGAGCGCATCCTGGACGAGATTAGGAAGCTGGACGAGGCCAAGATCTTCCTTGTGCCGGTGAGCAGGGTTTGGGAAAGTTTTTGCTGTTGTCCGTGGGACAGCTCCAGGAACCAGCTCGTCAGGCACTTCAGCTTGGTGGACGACTGCACCCTTAATAAAGTGCTTGAGATTGACTTCTCTGTCAGGCTCTCGCAAGTCTTCTCTCAATGGACAAGATGGCCTCCACGAGCTTATATACGAGCTTATTTACGAGCTTTGGATATACTCAAGTCCTGGAAGAGGGATAGTCTTCATACGACGCTCCTTTCGTGACAACGTACTCCGCATCTTTCATCAAAGTAACGAAACGGTTGTTTGCTGATGATGTGCCAGGTGTCCGAGGAGCAGTACCCCAACTACAGCAAGGTCATTCAGCGGCCCATTGCCCTGGTGACTATGCGCCAGCGGCTCAAGGGGCGCTACCTCCCGCTTGGGAAGGGAGTCGACCGCTTCAGAGAGGACATGGACCTCATGTTTGACAACGCCAAACGGTGAGGCGGCTCTCTCGTTCGCTCGTTGGTGTTCCATTTTTGTGCCGCCGAAACTTGCACTGTGCAGCTTTCCCGACAGGTGTAAGATGCAAATTTTGGAGTGGAGTGGGATCCGGGCTTTCCAGATGAGTAGATAGCGGGGCCTCAATTCAATCGATCTCTGGTCTCTTGCGCGACTGAGCATGCCAAGTAAGTTGCCTGCTACTGACATACGCGAATGTGGTCGTACCTTACGTTCATGCTTTTAAATGTCACCTGATTTCCCTCTTCTCGACCCCCCAGGTTTAACCGCGAGGGCACGTTCTACTACAAGGAGGCAGTGCGCCTGCAAAAAGTGGCCGACAAGTTGCTGGACCACTTAGAGGCGCGCGTTCAGGGCACGCTCGACGGCACCGTTCCCGTCCGCAAAGTTTCGGACCGCCGCGGCGAACGCCCGCCGCCCCTCCCAAAGCCCGCGGAGTTGGACCTGGCCGTACAGACGCGGCCAGTGAAACCGGTCAAGACCCCCCGGGGGGTCGCCGATGCAGAAGCGCTCCCGTCGATATCGGCGTCGTCTGTAGAGGAGTCGTACCGAGCGGGCATGGAAGAAGGGGCGAGGGAGGGCGAGCCGTTGAAGAAGCGGAAAGAGAGGGAAGAGGAGAGGGAGGAGCCCGAGAGCAGCAAGCGGCCGCGGGAGGACAGCGACGCGGAGAGCAATCGGGCTCGCGGGAAACGGCCGCGGGAAGACGAGGAGTCGGAGGATTACCGGGGGCTCGAGCGGCGAAGGACGGACTCTGCAAAGCGGCTGGAGGCCGAGGGGAAGCGGCCGGTGAGTGCGCCGCTGCAGTGGGAGCGGGACCAAAAAGGGAAGCGCACGGGGATCAAAGTCCCCCGCGTGGACTCGCGCGGGGTGTGGTCGCAGGCGCTGGTCGAGACGGAGCCGATCAGGCGGGCGGCTGCGCAGCGGGCGCGGCAGAGGTGGAGAGATGAGGAGAGCGAGAGCGAGGCCGAGGAGTGGGAGTCGGAGAGCACGGACGAGGAGCAGGACGTGGAGGCGGAGGAAGAGAGCGAGGCGGAGAGCGAAGTGGGGGAGAGCGACGCGGTGAGGGGCTGGCTCAAGGAAGCACTGAGTTGGAAGCAAGAGCTACGGATCCGTTACAGGGCTGTTAAAGTTTTCGAAACTCGTTAGCTAAAGCCTGTGGCTCCGGAGCTTTACTGGTGACGTTTCCTTTTGTTTGACTTTGCTGGAAGAATTCAGGGGTTTTCAGTCGTTGTTAGCATGAGAGCAAGCACGCTGATGAAGGGTGAGCGGAAAGCGAGTGATTTAACGCAGAAGTCCTCCCTCTCTGTTTTCTTAACTCCGGCTTCCAGATCTAGTCCAGGCTCAAGGTAACGTGCCACTCGCTCTTCAACAGATGCACCGGTTTTGTCGAACCCACTTCTTCTTCGAAGCGATTAACTGGAAGGAGCCTCACTTGCGCACTGAGCATTGTCAGTGCGCACCGCATCGGCCGTTGCGCTGACCAGCTTCTGATCTTCCAGGAGGATGCGCTGAGCGACGAGGAGCCGGAGGACCACACGGCGTGGGTGATGGAGGACGACCTGGCGGACCGCACCAACTGGGGCGCCAAGATGACGAAAGCCACCATGGTCCCGCCGGTGTCGCGCAAGTACGAGCTGATCGACGAGTACCGCATCGTGTCCGACGAGGCCATGGTGCGCGACAAGATGCGCGCGCAGTTCCCGGACTTCATCCTGAACAAGCTGACGCTGCGCGCGGAGACGGGGCACACCGCGGAGATCATCGTGCACCCGCGCAAGGCGCGCAAGATACTCGGGGAGGAGGTGCTGGAGCAAGAAGTGTACGGGATCGACCCGTACACGCACAACCTGCTGCTCGCCACCATGTGCAGCCTGCCCAAGGTCAAGGCGCCCAAGGTCATCGTGTCAGACGAGGAGCGCCGCACCTTCATCGAGCAGGTACGGCCAAGGGGAAGCCAAATTCCGTTACTCAAAAGTGTTGAGGGGATGTCGTGCTTGGGTCTGAAAAGGCAATAGTTTGACGTTGTGATGCAATGCCGGGTTCCATTGTTCCCGTTGCGCTTACAAGGTTCTCTTGTTCAATGAGTTAGCTAGTCAGCGAGACATGGCGTGACACGGTCTGCGGCCTGCTCTTCCCCGCTGCTTCAACTTTCGCATCTTGGATCGATGTTTGAACCCACTCCCGTTGCTTCGGTAGACTCACGCGCTGTCTTCAGTCGCTGACGGTGCCACGTAATTTTCGCTACAGCCGCTGCTGATGGCGCTGAACCGTGCTGCGGCCGCGTACACGGGTTACACCAAGGTGCCCGAGTCGCTGGACCTGAAAGTCATCGTCCAGGTGGTGGCCAAGGAGGCGCACGAGGCGCAGAACCAGCCGCTGAAAGAGTACGCGCTGGCGCTGCTCGAGGCAATGGAGAAACGGCCGCTCGACAAGTACCTCGCATACCGAAAGGTGCGAGACGGCCCCGCAGATGCGCTGTGGATGGAAGTCTTGTGTGGAGCTTGAGTGATCTTGAAGGAGACATTCCTGCAAAAGCCGTTGCTTCTCGTAAACGTACCAAGCTCAGATCGCTGCGTCCGCCGAGCATTGCTCCAGTAATCGCTCCCTGGTCGAAGAATATTGGGTTGGGAAAGCGGGCGCGTCTGAGACTCCTTTACCAAAACGAAGTAAGCGAGTGCTTTTACCAGCAAGACCGCCTGTACAACGGTTTGTTGGGGGAGCCCGTCTGACTCCTGTTTGCGCGCAGGGGCTGGGCGTGGTGTGCAACCGCACGGGCATCTGCAAGGACGACTTCGTGGTGGAGTTCCACGGGGAGGTGTACCCGCCGTACCGCTGGTTCGAGAAGGAGGATGAGATCCGGCGGCTGCAGAAGAAAGAGGTCGCGCCCGAGTTTTACAACATCATGCTCGAGCGGCCCAAGGTGAGACCACGCCCCAGCAGCGCGGGGGACTCTGTCGTGCTAACAGAGTGACGTACTGGGAATCGGTTTTGCTGCTTCAACCGCTGCAACTTTCGTTGCACACAAACAGTCACATCCTTCTATCGTTCTGAGGGCAAGTGCTACTTTAAGGTAGTTGTGGATCAACCATCCTTCCGAAGGCTGGTTGCGGGATCCGGCAGGTCGAACGGGTATGCAATTACCGCTGCTGTAGATTTTTTAATATGGTAGGCCACTGTGGTCTCCCTGTGTTCTAGCAGCCCTTGCGCTGCCGGAAGAGTGGAGGGAGAAGTCAAGGGCTGCCTATCGTAAAAGCGGGTTGTTGACTTGTCGCTCCACTGGTGCGTTGCTGTACGCAGAAGGACCTGGGCGGGTATGACTTGCTGGTGATTGACGCGATGCACAAGGCCAACTTTGCGAGCCGGCTGTGCCACTCGTGCACTCCGAACTGCGCCACCAAGGTGACGGCCGTGGACGGACACTACATGATCGGGCTATACGCCATCGAGGACATTCAGCCCGGGGAAGAACTCACATTCAACTACCACTCCGTCACCGAGGTGAGCCAATGAAAAGTTCTAGCTCCGTAGGTAGGATAAACTGTTTTCTTTGAGATTATCTTTCAAGAGCTTCCTTTGGAGGTGTGGTTTTGCCAGGTACGTGATCGGCTGCTTGTGACGGGTTCGTGAGGCATCACTCCGTTTCTGCCGCAAAGTGTGGAAGCAAAAATCCGTTGCTTGTGGAAGCGGTTTGCCAAGTTCCCGTCGCTTTCTAGACAGTTGAGGCCCTAACCCCATTTTGAACAAGCTTGTCAGAAGTTCGAAATACTGGCCGGCTGGGGGCTGCTCTCACGCTCTGTGCGAAAGCATTCGTTGTCCGGAGATCCTCCAATACCAATCTCTAGAGTTTAGGGTTTTAGGGTTTCAGGATTATAGGCTTTTATGCTGACAGCGCACTCGTCGCGCCCCTGGTGCAGAGCAAGGAGGAGCACGAGCACGCGGTGTGTTTGTGCGGCAGCCGGCAGTGCCAGGGCAGCTACCTCAACTTCGCGGGCAGCACCAGCTTCCAGCAGGTGATGAACAAGAGCCACGGCGTGCTCAACCGGCACCACCTGCTACTCGCCGCCTGCCAAGACCCCACCCTCACTTCCACCGACATCGAGGACCTCGAGAAAGCCGGCTTCAAGAGCTCGCTCCTCGACGGGCTGCCGCCCTGGGCCGTCAAGTATGCTGCGCAAGTGGTGAGGCTGTGTGTTTCTTTTTTTTTTTAACTCGTCGTTTTCTAAGCTCTGGGTCAGGCAAGCGTAGGAGACACACATCAAATGGAGCTTCTCTGGAAAGGCTGTCAACGGGTCACCGGCAGTCTGCACACATCTTTTCGCGACACCCAAGAATTGATCTTGGAGCTGATGGAAAGCGTCCGATTGTGATTACTGCTGTCTTTCATTTGCAAGCGACACGGTAAGCGTACTCTGGCGTCATTAGTTGAGTGTTTTCTTCAAAGCGCTGTCCACACCTTAGACACCGCAAATCATCGCGCTGCCGCAAGCATTTGACTGGCCGGTCTCCTGTCTTGCCAGGCGCACTTCATCTTCTACGAGCGGAAGGCGCTGCCGGGGGAGCTGCTGGCGCATAACAAGCGGCACAAGCGGCGGCGCGGCGGGGACAGCGATCCAGAGAAGCAGGCCGCGCAAGACGAGGCGGAGGGCGTCGAGAGCCAGCGCTTGCAGAACCTGGCCATCACTCTCGACAAGGTCCGGCGCTTTCACCGTTGTTGCGCGAGGTCCAGCTGCTTTATGCATCCAAGCATAGCCCCGCTCGCTACCTCTTATGGAAATGTTCATTCCGTGCGCTCCTGATTTCGCTCTGTTCTGTCCGGTTTCTTGGCATTTAGCAAGCGCCTTAGAAGCTCGCTATCACGCCCGACAAGGTCCCTGAGCTGGAGCCCTTCCTTCTCATTCCTAGCTTTGTGACGAAATTTGGATATCATTGTTCACTGTCAAGTACAAGTTCCTTACTTGGTATGCAATGCGTAGCAATAACTTTTTGGAAGGCGTAACTATCAACCTGCTAGGGCTCTGCCTCGACAGCACGAAATAATGTTCCCCATCCCTCTTGGTATCCATCCCTTCTTAGGTGCGCCACTGTCTGACTGCCCTCTGCGGTTGCCCCGCCACGGAGGCGCCTGCCCCCTTACGGCTGCTGTCCCCCGGAGAGGTGGTGCAGCGGCTATGGACGGCCGACGATTCGCTGGTGCAGCAGATCCGACGGTACCTGGAGCTCCACGTGGACGATATGGGGCGGCTGGCGCCCATCCTGGAGGAGCTGCACGTGCAGCGACCACAGGAGACGGAAGAGGGGCTCTCAGCCATGCGGGCAAGCCTCCTCTGGTGAGAATTTTCAAGCGGTCAAAGTGACTCATGTGAAAGTCTGAGTCAAACCCTGGATGCATAAAAGAATCACAGGCGTCTAATACTAAGAGTCTCAACGGCGCGTTGGACAGCCACAGTGGGGGTTTTGGGGTTGGTCTGATGTTGCTAGTAAGCACAGGGGTATTTGTTACTCGCAGTTTGCTGCTCATATTTGTGGCCTAGGCTGCCACTCTGCACATAAAGAAACCTGCACGACACATCACTAGCTGGACGTTGCGATGAAACAGGCTGGCTGGCCCGCTCTTAGAGGGATTCTCAGAGAAGCAACGGGACACGTGCTCAAGCAAGATTGGTCTGGGCTGTTCCTATTGATTGCTGCTGCCTTATCCTGGGCACAGCAAAGTGTGCGCTACTTACGACACCGTTTTGAATGACAATTGCCCGGCCTATCGTGCAGGTTGCGCGACGCGCTCATTGCACTGGACATCAAGCCCACTGCGCGGCACGACGCTGCGGCGGACCTGCTCACCATGTACGCCGCCACCAAGGACTTCTTCACACATGCGGTGAGGCCCGCACCACTCCCGTTTCGCCGCACTCTGCGTGTGGGCACCTAATCCTTGCTTGCGCAGTTGCCTCCTATGCAGTGTTCCGCACATTCGCATCCGTCAGCACGGACTATCAAGTCCATGTAAGTAAGATTGGAGTGTCCAGCGCTAGTGGTAGGCCTCCAGCTTATGTAGTACGCCAAAGACCGCAGTACTGCTGAGGAGCTGACATGGCCCCTCCTGTCCGGCCTCATTTGCAGGACTACGTGGCGAGCAGCTTCGAGTCGGAGCCGGTGACAATCGTGGCCATGGACCTGGGCGTCAAGGAGTCGAGCTTCCCGCCCAAGACGGTGCGCAAGGCGTACAAGCCGTACTTCGTGTGGGGGCAGCTCATCAACTGGTACAAGCAGTCGGTGGCCGACCCTGGCGCCACTCTCAACAACGTAAGCCTGTTGCGGTTTCCAAGGGGCTTTTAAGAGCTCCCTAGAATAGTTTCTGTGGCCCCTGACTTTTGCATCACGCGCCTCTCTGCAATAATTCGTTAGTGGGTCGTCACGCTTTTCTGTACATGGTATTCTCAGCGTTGCTTTTGGTGCATAGTGCATTCAGCTGTAACTGTGGAGGGCACGAGAGCCAGGATTTGTGCACTTTCGCGGCTTTCTCATTCGAGTGCGATCGGCTCCCATAAGATTCGTTTCAGGAGCATACCGGATGATGGGGTTGCGAGAAGGAATGTCACGAGGGTCGTTGTGTTTTGGATTTCCCTTGTTATGACGCAGTTTGCTTTCAGGCTGATATCAGATTCCCAGGATCCCCTGTGTTCCGCACGCTGACCCAAGCGGCGATTGAGCTGTGCATCTCTGCCCGCAGGTGCGGCGTGGGTGTTTGACGCTGCCTGACCCCGGGTCCTGCTATTCGGCGACTGCCAAGCAGGCCATCCCCCGCGGTTACGGCCGCAAGCAGAGGGCGCGCATGCTCGACAAGTACATCGTGAGTACATTCCGGTGATCGAAAGCCATCTTCTGGTCAACAAGGCCTTTTCGCTCGAAGTGCTATCTTGTGGGCGCCTCCTTCTCACCAGCTGTGCTGAAAAGTTGCTGTCATTCGATCTTGATCTGCTTACTGCTGCTTTGAGGCGTTTTGAACGCGGAGTCTCTGACGCATCTTCCTGACTGGTGCAGACGAACAAGGTCCAAGGTCCGTGGCCGAAGCAGGAGCAGCACTGGCTGTGGAGCCACAACATCCGAGGGTTGTACGGCACCCCCTGGTTCGACGCTATTCGGGCAGGGCGAGCCGTGGATTCCGACCTGGTGCATTGGCTGCGCACAAGGCCCGTCTTCGAAGGCCCTTATGATCATGGCCACTGAGGGAGGGAGCTGCCATACATGCATAGGAACTGTAGAAGAGGAGCGGTTGCCTTTGAGCACGTTGGTAGATAGACATGCAAGAAGTGGATATAGCAGGGACAGATTGAAGCCTGAAAAAAGTCATAGAATAGTCATTTAGTAATCGTGGATCAAAAAGGGATCGACTTTGGTGCATAGAATCTTCACAACTATTGGGAATCTTCGAGTCCTATTTCGAATCGTTAAAAGCAATGGTCATGTGAACTGTCGCAGACCACAGCGTCGTTTGCAGCGCTCCGTGAATCAAAGGTTTCATACGTGGAACCATTGCAAGCTCAAATTATTTCATTCATGAGTAGCAATATAGGGGCATGATATCTATCTGGCATGAGCACTTCGAGCAGCAGCCATTCGAGACCGGGCTGCATGCTAATCAGTCGCCATCACGTATGCACCATTCCTATATTATCCCTGATCCGTCATGTGCAGCGCAAAGCTATAGCTTTAGTAAGAGCTGAATCTATTATGTGCATGAAGCTGTACTACGAGCTCACGAAGTGTTCAACAAGTATCATGGATTTGTCAATTGCTGTAGCGACTTCGATAACAAATCCCAAAATCGGTAGTAACACACTTTGCGTCCCGGCCATCATGGATCAAAGGAAACGAACATGCACTCATGGACTTTCTTGCTGATATTGATGAAGCGTCTGGATTCTGGTTTGAGTGCTAGTTGAAGAGACGCAACTGCATGTTGCAGAAGACTGACTTACTTGCATCCTAACTTGATCTTACGAACGGTTAGTCGAGAAGAATGGGTCAACGCGCGCACTGTACCGTCCGGTCCTACCTTTCAGTACTGTACATGTGATAATGTAGACAAGGTGCTCCAGCTTACACAAGCTCCTCCCCGGATGCCCTTTTGTGACCTTTGTGCGGACTGCCGGACCCCCGTCGAGGAGAACTGTTATCAGACCTTTCCCTATGGTCTTCCGCATAAATTACGCCTCGATCTCTGATATTTAAGCCCGGGGTAAGCACCTCCGCAGGATCAAACCTGGAAGCCCCCGACTCATGATTTCTCCGAGAGCCAACTATCAGTGGCGAAACGTGCCCATTTTCCCTCAACTTTGTGATCATCGAAGCCCGCTGTGGCTCCTCTGCTCTAGCTGCCTCAAACAGAGGCAACAAACTCCCGCTGGCCGTCGGCAGCAGATCCTGAGCACTTTTCGAACTTCTGTCAGAAATGGCCGCAGTGGGCAATGGACTTTCTTTGCATTTGGCACGCCGTTGCTGATACTTGGCTGCGGTGTACCAGAAACCCCCCGCCGTATTGATGGTTATGCCCAGGATATTCAATGGACTGAAGTCGCCCTGCCGAAAGATGAAGAAGCCGACAAGCTGCAAGCACACAAACGAAGCTTAGAAACAATCACAAAAGATTTGACAAGATGCCGAGAAATAGATTCAACCCTAAAGGCTACAAGGATCATGCCAAAAGGCCTTCTCCTTCATATGTCAGAACGAATGTTCTTGATGCGCAGCTTACATACAAGTCGCACGAACCTCCCTTAGAATGCATAGGGTTGTTCTTCCCCATCATTGCCGCGTGACCACTCAATGCGATTGAACCAACTTATGGCTTCGCTGTAAATCACTCACGGTAGCCACAACGCCTTTGAGAGCCCCCACGACCGTGGTGGTTAGCGCAGAATTGACGAGCGTGCACAGGAAGAGGCTGTAGTTGAGCAGGACGCCGATGAAGAGCGACACAATAAGGTTGAGGAGGAAGTAGGAGCCATGCGTGGCTGCGGTGGTGAAAACTGCTGGAACTGAGTCGTACACCTCGCCCGTGACACAGATGAGCACCACCAGCACGGGAAGCGAGAGAATGCTGTTGTACAGTAACAACTCGAGAGACGTCATGCCCTTCTCGCCGCCGCTGCGCTCCACCAGCAGCAGATATGTCGCCTGTGCACAGAGACATGGCGCCTTGTTGCCGCTCAGATGTTCAAAGGTGCATGGGATGAGGCATTACCTAAGGGTTGCGCTACCGGAACCGATCGGTGCACAGATAGCGCACTCAAGGGACTGTGATGGCAATGAGGCAGTTTGCCGAGGCTTCAGCCCTGATGTAAGTCCTTGGTGCAGGGTTGATGCAGTGATGGCTCCGTCAATTGAATCATCCTGTCAACGACAAATCTTTTCAAAGAGGCTACTGGAGGCATGGTGCGGTACTACACTGCAGAAAGTGGTCCACCAGCTCCACACAGCAGGAGCAGCCATGTGCATGGACTGCAACGCAAGCAGCCAAGCTGAATGCCTTAACAAGAGAGGAAGCTGTGCCTGTCTCTGTGCGCACTGACCTGGAGCACGCAGCTCATGAATGCAAGGCCGTAGGCCGTCATGTCAAAGCGGATGTCGCCCACCCCCGCAATGAATGTTCCCCCCACGATGGTCAGGACCGACGCAGAAACCTGCAAGAGCGAGAAGGCAGATGCCAAACCATGAGGAACGGAGCCTAGCTAACTTCCATCGAACAATCTTGTCACCGGTGACTAGCACATGGACATGCTGTAGCTTGCCACAGTCTCTGATGCAAGGATCTTATAAGCTACGAGGGAGATCTGGCAATACAACCAGGTGGCAGTGAGTTGCACGTATGATGCAACAGCTGAGGTTTCCAAAAACGGCACTGCTGGTTCGCTGGCAATTTCGGACCGTAACCTCTCTTCTCACATCCTCTGACATGACGGTACTGCTTTCATTCGTCTGCTTCTCACCTGCCATGGCGGCTGCACGTTTCCCATGAGGGACTTAACCCCAAGGATGAGCACAGGAGCTGTAACGAAATCAATGAGAGTCGTTCAGCGCCAGATTAAGGGTCTATGATCGAACACACAACTTGAGAAACCCATGATTTGGCATCGCCGTGCTGGAGTGACCCACTGTAAAGAGGTACATAATGCAGTTGACTTTTCTGGAAACCTAAGGCTGCTGATTATGCAGACTTGCAATCTCAGCATTCAAGCAGGAAAGCAGCAGTCCAATCAGACTTTAGCAGCAATAGTCAGTTCCTCCAAACAAGCATTTACGGCGATCAGATTCGTTTGTGATGTCGAGAAGCAGGTGGAACTCACTGATCCTTTTCAAAACATGGTACATAGGCAAGTTGAGGGTCTTCAAGCTTGCCAGGGCAAAGGCTACGTTTGCATTGTAGAAGAAAACAACGGGCGCCAGTGCATATGCCGTCTTCCATTCAAATTTCCGTACCCAAAGAACACCTGTCCATTTCAAGGCATATATAAGCGCAGCAGAGGCTGCCATCTGCAAAAGAGGAGCAAAATTGCCTGGTGACCATACGAATTGCAAACAGGGCTTTGCAACATCTGAGAACCGCACGAATATTCCTGAACACTCTTGGGGTGCATTGGCAGCTGAAGTCAAATCTGAGTCGAAGATCATAGCTTTAGCACTCGGTGTTCATGAAGGTCAGCTAACAACCACTCCAAACTGCATATGCTTTAAATTGTCCGGAATGTTTGATTTCAAATGGGTCCATTTTTGAGCATGTAAATGCAGTTCTGCGGCACCTTATTGAATGTTCTACACATGCAGCAAAGGGTGAAGCCGCCAAAATTACTTATGTGTGCAAGAGTTTGATAACCTACCTGGAGGGTCAAGAATGTGTTTGGGTACTGAAAATCAATAATAACTGCCTTGTTTATGACTCCCATAGCCACAGCAACCGCAGCGTAGAATATGCTGGCCAGAAAACTGATCCACTGCAGAGATGAAGGGACATGTAACGATAAGCAATATTTACGTATGCCAACTCCATGAAAACCTTGCCGCTTAAGACGCTGCTCCCAAAGCGCTCCATCAGCAGCTGCATTGCCAGCCGTAGCCTGATAGATCTGCCAAACAACCTGCGTCATTAGGACCACCTGCTTGTGACCAGGCTGCTATGCTCCAGTGTTAAACGGCTACAAGTACCTGCCAAGCTGCTCACTCAGATCCAATTATGGAGGAAAAGGTCACAAACAAGGCTCACGTCAACACAATGGAACAAGACTTTGGACACGCAAAGAGTGCCTTTTCTGAAGACAGATCGTCAAGGCTGGCTTACTTGCTTCCGATCCAACTCATTGTGTTTTCCTTGATGGTCTCCTTTCTCCTGACCCGCTTTTCCTCTTCGCCAGCCCCCTACTGGCCCTAGTAAGGAACTCAGCAAGTGTGCCATCCCAAACCCTTTCTTCATCACTCCTGACTGACGGAGATCTGACAAAGTCTCCAGAAACGCTATGCTGATCATCTTGTGCAGTTCTCCAACAAGCGGTACAGATTTAGGGCTTCTCAAACAAGAGATGGGCCAAGGGCAGCGCGTTGTTGCCCCCCCCCATTATCAACTCGAACTACACGGGATTTGAAAGATCCAGGCGCTAAAGTGCTGAAGATTACAGCGTTGAAGCTAATTTGCCAAGAAGCCAACTGCAACCCTCCAGCCTCCAGGTGGCCGCCATCATGGCGCAGCTAGAAACTTTTGGAGAATGCACTTGAACTTGACAAAGAACTTGAAGCACTAGCCTGCCAGTGAGCCTTGAGGTCAGCGACGAGAGTAGGTAGACATTATGTACCTATCTGTTGGCAACATAGAAATCTTGGAAATCATGCCTTCGACGACGACTATTATCTTCCATAGGTACAGTAAATTTAACGTCGGGATCGGCTCGTTCTAGCTCGTTCCCGAATCCTAAGAGGGAAAGTTTGAACGCCCCGTCGAATGTGGCTACCTAATCAATATTTCTTTTACCAAAGAAACCTCGTGTGAGATGACGACTGCAACTGCACTGTGCACACTGCAGCTCAGGCACGTTTGCAAAGCGTCTTGACCGGGCGTACCAGGCGTACCTACCTACAACTGGTCATTAATAACAGTCAATCATCATATACGGGTCTATCAAATGTAAGTTGTACTGACTTGGCTATACATAGCAATGTTGAGGTTATACCTACGATCCTCTGCCGTTTTATATCTCTGTTCGAATATAAAGAAGGGCTCTTCGAGTAATCAAAGATTGACTGCCCGGTAGTAAGGCACCTGACTGCCCGGTAGTATGGCACCTGGGAGTTTCCATGGCAGAAGTACACCAATAGAGCTGGGTAGGTAGGTAGCTGGGTAACTACAGTAGGACACGCGTGGTAGTAGTACCGGTAGCTCCCCGGATGACAAGGACGACATTCTTTTTCCATTTCGGGATAATACCTGGAATTCATCGTCAATCTGCGTCATGCATGGATCTGACCAGACTGATAGATACGCCGAGATGCAGACAGCATCAAACACCTGCATGGCGGGTACCACCGTCCACGGTAATCGAGCAATATCCTACCACAAATTTGAAAACTCGAAACTCCGGAAAATTCGTTAAACACCTGATTGAACATTCTCGTTTCCAAATTCCCATCGCAATGTTCCGTACGGTACATACCGAGTTTGTTGGCCGGTGCTGCCAAAAAAAGTAAGTTTGCCCAGGACAGGAATCCCGAGTACCGGTACCACAAAAAGCACATGTGTGCATGCATGGACTTTCATTTTCTTTTCAGGGGGGAGTTTGATATGTCGTACCAAGCAGCTTCGTAGCCTGGCCCCCGGCCCCATGTTTCAGTGTCGCGGCATATGAAGCGCGCGCGCATTTCGACTGCAAGGCTGAAGCCATCAGTGCAGGCCCCGGGGCCTAGGCCGGGCAGGGAGCAATTAGGTAGGTACCTAGCTACGGTACACTGCGTATAATCACGTATCCTGGCACCAGTTGCTGTCTACCGGGCGAATCCAGAGTCAGGAGTCAGAGAGTAGGCTGTGATGCAGCGACACGTGTGACCGCGTGACTCATGCAATCATGCGAGGTATGGCGCCGCCGGCCGGCCGGCCGCAACAGTCGAATTCCGTAAGCTATACTCTCGGACTATATGCTATGCGCAGGTCAGGCTGGTAGGTAGGTAGTACTACCTAGGTAGTAGCCTCAGGGGCGATTCGCACCCGCCAACTTTAAGGCCAACTTTCCGATAACTTTCGCGTAAAGTCCGGGGGACGCGTTCGCACATAAAGTCCGATAAGCT